GCAGATGGTCAGATGGTTGATTATTTCTGTTCTTGCTGAGATTCCTGTGGTGTTTAATTGGGATGTCTATCAGGAGGAGCCCTCCAAATGTGGGGTGACAATCAGGTGGAAGCCCTCAGCACAGAAGGTGAAAGAATTCACCAGAGGCAGAACAGAGGGAACAGAAGTTTATTGAATAGGGACGCCTAGTGGCTCAGTGGTTAAGCATCTGCCTTCGGCTCAGGGAAGTCAGAGTCCCAGGATCAAGTCCCACATCAGGCTCCCTGCATGGAGCCTGCTTCTCCCCCTGCCTGTATCTCTCTCTCTCTCTCTCTCTCTCTCTCTCTCTCGAATAAATAAAATCTTTAAAAAGTAATAAAAATTAAAAAAGAAGTTTATTGAGTATACCACAAGGGAGCAGGTGGGTAGGACAGCAGAGGAGAGGCAATGAGTGAGGGCTGTTTTTAAAGGGGGAAGATGAGTTATGGCAATATATGGAATTACCCCTTTTTTGATACCTGTGCCCGGTTGGTTAGGGCCTATGAATATTTTGAGGTGGGTCGCCTGATAGACCTGTCTGTGTTCAGCCAGGGGGTCACTGTGGCCCTGTCTACCTTCCATCACTCAAGACTGTTTCCCTAAAAGCAGCTTCTATGATTCCCTTTCTTCTGGATTTCATACGCAAGAGTTATTGAGGGAGTCCCTTCCTCCCCGCCCCCCACCACCACTGTAATGCCAGTCACTCATACTGGATGTGGACAAAGATTCACGTGAACTCAGAACAGTGGAACTCTTACCATCTGAGATATGTATTAAATGGCTCGAATCTTAAAAGACTCCAGTTGCATTTTGAGGAGGAGCAGCATTACACAGCAACCAGTCACATAAGGTCATTACTGCCTTGGGCAACTCTTCCTCTTGATCACAGCATATTAACATTCATTCCTAGTGGTAGAACAACACTCAAGAAGGTAAATACACATACCTCTATCTATGCCTATAAAATACAAAACGATCTAATTAAAAAATTAAACTCAAAACACCAATGGACACATTTAAAAGGGCTTTTTGCTTTTGCTTCTGTTTTCGTTTTTGTCTCCTGTGGTCTGAAATAAATGTATTACAATAAAAGCCAAAAAACCATTTATCACATGCTTTGTGCCACCATGTCTTAAGAGTGTTAAACCTTATAACAGCCTTTTGAGTGCTATTACTACCACCTTTTTAAAGGTGAGGAAATTGGCTTTTGGGGAGGTTCAAGAACCAGCTCAAGGTCAGAGTTTTTATTTTTTATTTTTTAAAAAGATTTATTTATATATTTATTCATGATATACAGAGAGAGAGAGAGAGAGAGAGAGAGAGAGAGAGAGAGAGAGGCAGAGACACAGGAGGAGGGAGAAGCAGGCTCCATGCCTGGATCCCAATGTGGGACTCGATCCCAGGACTCCAGGATTGTGCCCTGGGCCAAAGGCAGGTGCTAAACCGCTGAACCACCCAGGGATCCCCAAGGTCAGAGTTTTCAAACCAGGAATTTAGATCCAGGCTGTTGGACTCGAGGCCAACTATTCTTTTATACTATTTCCCAAGATTCCCAGATGTTGTTTGCCTATGAGAACTTAAATATAGACCCACAGCCTCTTTCAGTGTGAGAAAGAAAAAGAAAAAGAAAAAGAAACTCCTGTTCAAAGCAGTTTAAATAAAAGGGGGAATTTAATGGCTTCTATGAGTAAGCTGGAGAATGGGCTGGATCAGGGACTCGAACACAGGATTCTCTGTGTTTGTGATGAATGTCAGTCTTATTCTTTCAGACTGCCTTGTGGGGGACCATATGCTGGGAGCTTCATTGGGGAAGCTTCAGTTTCATACTCTAAGATACGCCCAGAGAGGAAAAAATTCATCCCTGATGGCCACAGTACGAAAAACTACTGCAAAAGATTCTGATTGGCCCAATTTAGGTCATTTACTCATCTCTGGGTCAATTCCAGTGGCAAGGGAGAGAGACAACTGTAATTTGCCCAGTCTGGGCCACTTGACTACCCCTGTGGCCTGGAGGGCTGGGATTATACCCGGAGAGGAAGTTGCTAGAGAGAAAATATAAAATATATATAAAATATAAAATATAAATTTTATATAAAATATAAAATAGCTACTATATTACATAACATGGCTATACCTCTTTGGAGTTTACAAAGTGCTCTCACAATTTAACCACCTCTGAAGAGGGCACATCAAGCATTACTAAAATGATTAATTTTAGTGATTAATTAAAGATGGCCACAAGTTTTTTGTTACCCTCTCCATTGAGAGATGGGGTTCATTTCCCCTCACCTGAATCTGGGCTTGCCTTATGATATTTAATAAAATGTGGCTGGTCTTACTATAACTGCTTATTAGTTTTGTCTTTAAAAGGCCCTCCACCTTCCACTTTCTTTCTCTGGGAATGCTCACACTTAGAGTACTCCCTCTTAAACTCAACTACTGAGAAGTCAACCCACAAGGAAAGGCCAGATGAAAGCATTCTACTCAACAGTTCCAGCTAAGCTTTGAACTGATAGCCAGAGTCAACTGCCAGCCACAAAGAGTGAGCCATTGTGGACATTCTAGGGTCATTTGGTTGGCAACAATAGAGAACCAAAACAGACACTAGGGCTCATTGGCTTAGTGTCCTACAGTTAGAAAGGCTCAGAGTTGTAATGCTAAACCAGATGCTCTGACTCTAAGCCCACTGGGCTTGCTTTGATTCCTTACTGCCTTCTATTAAAAACAGAACAAGCCTTAATTCAAAATCTCCAGTTGTAAAATTTCTGTCCAGGGTGCAGGTTGGGGAAGTGGAGCATATCATCCACTCAGCAAACATTTAAGATTTATGTGGTCAGCAACTGAACAAAATGCACTACTAGTTCTTGAGGAACTCAGAGTCTAATCAATAGCGAGCCTCATAAATTATAGTTCATTGCAATAAGAACTGCTAAATGCCATGATGGAAAATGTGCAAGGTGCTTTTGAAAAACATGGTGGGCACTAAACCTAGCCCACAGCATGAAATAATGGGCACATCTTTTGTTGGGTTTAAGAGGGTATCTCTGAGTCTGTGTTGAGGATGTTGAAGACTGAGTATGTGAATGAAGGAATGCAATTCATCAAGATAAACGTGACAGGAAATGGGAAGGGGGGAGGGAGGAAAAATTCTAGTATTTAGGATAAGGACATGAATTCTAGTCCTAGTTCCAGCCTTCACTTACATGCGCTTTTGGCCAAGTCCCTGAAATTCCCTTAACTTAGCTTCCTCGCTTGCAAAGCTGGGGGTGGGGGGTGGGGAATCACATTATCTCTTCATGTACTTGGTTGGACAGTTCCTTTCTCCTATTTCCTTTAAGTTTTGATGTTCCTTAGAGTTTGGTCCTTAGTCATTGCTCTTCTCACTCTGCAAATCCTTGCTAAATGATCTTATCTATGATAGCTTTGGTTGTCAATGATATGGAAATGAAACCCAAGTCTAAATGCTAGCACGATTCTGTGGGCTGTCTACCACTGTAGTCATCCACTTATTGCAATCACACAATGCAAGAAAAATTCAACACGTCCAGAGCTGAGCTCATCACCTTGCCCACTTCACTGACTTCTGATTTCTCCCTTGGTTGATGGCACCACCATTAACATTGTTGGTGGCCTATGAGGTTACCTTCACTCTCAACTTTTCCTTCAACCTCACATGCAATTTTTAGCCAGTACTACTAATTTTGCCTCCTAAATATTCTACAATTCCTTTGTCTAGATGTCCCATAAATAGCTCAAATTCCAAATATTCAAAGCTTGACTCATTACTTCCCCCCTTGAACCTGCTCCTTCCTCCTCCTGAGTTCTAGCAGGATGTTATCCCCATCCACTCAGCAGCCAAACATAAAACTTAGGCATCATGGTTGATCTCTCCCTCTCCTTTGCTTTCCATAACCACCAATTTCTGATGTTTGGCCTTCTTTGCCTCTTAAATATACCCACTTGTTTCCATTTCTCGTTGAGATCTTTTACTTCCTGTAGTAGTTCCTAATTGGTTCCCCTGCCTTGAGTGTTCAGCCTTCACTCCCTCTGGCCTCTTCTCCACCACGAAGCCAAATCTGATCATGTCAGCAACTTCTGTCTTCCCTACTCCCCATATTCTAATTCTTTGATTCTTTTTTTTTTTTTTTGATTTTTATTTATGATAGTCGCACAGAGAGAGAGAGAGGCAGAGACACACAGGAGGAGGGAGAAGCAGGCTCCATGCACCGGGAGCCCGACGTGGGATTCGATCCCGGGTCTCCAGGATCGCGCCCTGGGCCAAAGGCAGGCGCCAAACCGCTGCGCCACCCAGGGATCCCTGATTCTTTTTATGTTTTACCTCCAGGCTACAAAATCTACGATAGGGGCCATAATCCATTTACCCTCGTCTCCCCTGCACTTCCCACACTGTACTTGGCACATAATTGTTCAATAAATACGAACTTGCACTCATCCCCTTCTGACGCCAGGTTATTTGTAGTAAGTAAACCTGTGACATACTGGCTCTCCGGAGGCACAGAGTGCCACGACCTGATTCCCCGTTGTGCGAGCCGGACCCTTCCTGAGGGCCATGGGACACTGGGTACAGGATAACAGCACCGAGTGACTGTAGAGTCGGCGCACAAAGGGACACACAAGCCGAGGCTTCTTCCTAATCGGGCTTAAAATCAAAGGCGTCCCCAACGCTCTGGGCCAATATCCCCCCTTTGTGGACCTCGTCTCCCGATCCGTAAGGGAGCACAGCGGAGGCGCGGCAGGCGGCGCGCGCGGCAGGCGGCACCGCGGCACACCCGAGAGCCCAGCCCCGGGAGCGGCCAGAAATAATGGGCCGGCACGTAGGGGTTGGCGCATGCGCGGGCTCCCCGGCGCGGCCTTCCCGGCGGCCCTCGCGGGAGGCGGGACCAGGCCGATTCCCGCGGCTCGGCCCCGCCATTGGCGGGCCGTTTGAATGACGGAAGTGACGGGGGCTCGGCGATGGCTGCCCCGCAGGCGCACAGACGGCGGTTGGGGAGCTGCAGGGCCGCGGGCGCAGGGGCCTTCTCCGTGTGAGCTGCGGTTCCTGAGTCCCGGCCCTCGGTACTCGGGTGAGTGGCGGACGCCGGCTGCCAGCGCCGGGGCGTGCACAGGCCCCCGGAGCCAGGAGCTGGGGCTGTGCTCCTCAGGCAGGGGTGCCGAGAGGCCCGCGGTTCCGAGGCCCCGGCTGGCCCCGGCTGGCCCCGGGCGGGCTGCGGTCGGTGGAGCGTGCGGGGAGGGGAGGCGAGCGCGGACGCACACCGGCCGCTTGCTGCGAGGGGCTGCTCCCGGGCCGGAGGCGCGTGTGGCCGTCCGCGCCCTCCCGGGGAGGCGTCGCGCGAGGTCCTCGCGCTTCCTGACCCGGGGCGGCCCCGCGGGCCTCGGAGGGAGCTTCGGCCGCAGGCGCTTCTCGATGCTTCCTGCCTGCCCTTCCCCCGGGTCCCCCTTTTCAGTGGCCTGAAAGCTGGGAGCCCTTGGAGAGCGCTGCCTGGAATTGTTTCTTGCAGAGAGCGTGCTCTTTTTTTTTGCTGTCTCTCACCTTTAATTTGTCCGGTAGTTAGCCCTGCCGCAAACTGAGCTTTTAAAACATCGGGGTACACTCTGAGTCCTTAATACTTAGAAAGTATTTGGCAGTTTCACGTTAAGCCACGTGATCACCAGGACAACCTGCTGGGGAAGGTGTTATGATTCCCATTATATAGTTTAAGAAAATGAGGCCATAGTAATTTAAGAGACTTCTCCAGTGTCTTCCTGCTTGTCAGTGGTCATGATGAGTCTTGAACACAAATCTTCTTAGTATTTTGTGGCTACGAAATGCCAAGTGCCATTTAATCCTCAGGACAAAAAATCTTGAAAGATAAGTTAGTATTATCTGTTATTGGATAATATTAATACACAGAACTTAAAATCCATACTGATATGAATGAATGATTTAACAAATAAGAGAGGAGCCGGGGAAATGCTTCCCTAACAGTAGGATTCCAGTTGATAAATGTGAAAGGGATAATGGAAATAGAAAATGCTTTTTGGTAAATGCTGTAGTTAATGCTTCAGACAACCATCAGTGGATACGAAGGAGCAAAGGTATAATCAGAAACATGATATTTATATATAGCCTCAACTGTCTCTCTGGGTACTTATAAAAGTGGAGAGACCTGTGAACACCGCTTAACCAGGGTTCAAAATAAACCTCACCAGTGTAGTAAGACACCTTAACATAATTTAATGTGCTGAGAAAGGGTGCATCATCACATCTTCACTTCTGCGGTGTTTTTGCCAAAAATGTGTGATCTTAGTCTAACCATATGAAAAGATTAAGCAAATCCCAGTGGAGGGACATTCTACAAAATAACTGGCCAGTAGTTTTTAAAAGTCAAGAGATTGAAAAGAAAGGCACAGGCTGAGGGACAGTCCGAGGAGAGGTGACAATTTCAACAACCATGAGAATGTAATTCACAGACCTCAGCTTCTGTATATTCTGAAACCCATTTGCATGGATGCTTCCCAAAGGCTGTTTCTGGCCAATGACTGAGAATGGCATGGGCACTGAGGCGGACCTCTTCCTGAGAAGCAAGGGACTTTCCTTTAAGAACTCCGCCATCTTACCGAATCTTCTTTAGACTGCATGGCAGTCATCTACCCAACCTTCCCTCCATTCATTCAGTGTCAGATTTGCATGGAAATCTGAAAAGCTTCCAGCGTTTATTCCCTCCCATTTTCCCTCACACAGACATTTCTCTTAATAAAATTTTTGTAGGCTTAATCCTATCTTGTCTTCTGCTTCTTGGAAGACCCAGAGTAATACAGCAGTGGAAAGCAATGGATATTGTCCTTGGATGGATCTTAGTTCAGAAAATGGGTGTTAGTGGGATACTTAAAATCTGAATAAGGTCTGTAGATTAGTTAAACCATTGAGCTTGTGTCCATTTCTTGATTTTGATCATTGTGCTGTGATTGTCGTCTAGAGAAGCTAGGGAGAGTATGTGGGAATTCTAAGTCTGAAATTATTTCCAAATAAGTTTAACAATTAAGAAAGTTATATGCAAGAGAAAAGTTACTCTACCACATCTCAGGAGGTAAAAGTAACAAATGTGTGCTTTTGTATCATCCTTAAGCTAATGAGATGATAGATACTCAAAACAATATGAAATTTTTTCCCCTTTTTTATTGACTGTAACTTTAAAATACACAACTCTCTGGCAGCCTGGGTGGCTCAGCGCTTTAGCGCCTCCTTTAGCGCCTCCTTTGGCCCGGGGTGTGTGATCCTGGAGACCCAGGATCGAGTCCCGTGTCGGGCTCCCTGCATGGAGCCTGCTTCTCCCTCTGCCTGTGTCTCTGCCTCTCTCTCTCTGTCATGAATAAATAGATAAAATCTTAAATAAATAAAATAAAATACACAACTCTAGGGGTGCCAGGGTGGCTCCATCGGTTCAGCATCTGCCTTTGGCTCAGGTCATGGTCCTGGGATCAAGCCCCACATCAGACTCCCTGATCAATGAGGAGCCTGCTTCTCCCTCTGCTGCTCCCCCTACTTGTGCTCTCACTCTTTCTTTCTCTCTCAAATAAATAAAATCTTTTAAAAAGTTCACAAATCTAAGTCTATCATTTGAATAATATTTACATATGTATATACCTGTGTAATCATTACACAGATCAAAATACAGGCCATCTCTAGCATCCCTGCAGGCTCCTTTGTGCTGCCTCCTAGTCATTAACCTACAGAAAAGTGAGCCCTGTTTTAATGTCTGTCATCATGGAGTAATCTTGCTTGTTTTTGAACTTCATATAAATGGAATTTTATAGTATCTTCTTATTTTTCCTTTTTTCCCCCATGACATTTGGTTTATGAGATTTATCAGGAATTAGTTTTGATAGTCTGAATATGAATTTTCAGAGACCGTCAGAAAAACTGTGAAGACTGAATTTAATCTTGGTCATTTTTTTCTCCTTTGTTCAGTCCTTCCTTATTCATCAGTCCCGACTAGCAAAAAATAGCAATTTAAACAAATATTTCCTCATTCCACATGTTTTAGCATATCAGAAAGTTAGGAGCCATATGGAACAAGGAAACCAGATTCTTTCTTTGGATCTACTAGTAGATCCTATTAGGTTAAGACCTATAACCCAAAAGGCCTTTGATTCTTCATTTGTAAAATGAGGAAGACAGTCAGCACTTGACCTACTGTTACTTTACCTACTGGAAAATATTTTCAGATGCAAGCAATTGCATTTCTGTTTGGCATCAGAGACCTGTAGTCCCCATTAGATTACTTTAAATGCTCCTAGCCCAAAACAGTATCCATCCATAGTATGTGGACAACTATACTGCCCAATAGTTGTCATTTGTTAAATTAATTTGAGTTTAAAGTAAAACTATAACCTCTGTTCTTCAGTTATTAGGAATCTAGCTAGAAAAGGCATGCTGTAATTGATGAAAAACTAGAGGAAAGTAATAACAAGACATTAGATTCGTCCCTCTTTGAGTGTAAAGGTTAACACATTATAGGTGGGCAAGTCAGGAATGAGGTGGTGGAACGTAAACAAAGATTACTAGAGGACAGTTTCATGAAGAAGTGGGGTTTAAACTAACTTCAGAAAGATGTATCCATGTTACAGCCTAGGGAGGAGAGAGAACACCAGAATGTCAATGGCATTAAAAGAATAAATCTGAGAACCTAAACACCTGACTCATACAAACAACAGAATTGTTCTCAGAGAAATTTTTTAAAGTCATCGACTTAAAAAAATCACACCATTGTAATTATTAAAGAATTGTTGAGGAGTTGGTGTGATTCCATATTATACAGTGACGCTTGGTGACCAAGTTTCACACAACAGACTGGGAATTGAAACTAGGTTCCAGGAGGCTTTTGCAATGACAGCAGCCCTGCTGGTTATGAACAAGTTATCAGAGTTCTAAAGTGTAAAATTGTAAACATTTATTCTCTGCTAACACTTTAAAAAAAATTATAGGAGAGAGCGTGAGCAGAAGGGAGGACAGAAGGAGAGGGAGAAGCAGACTCTTTCTCCACTGAGCACGAACCTGATGTGGGGCTCCATCCCAGGACCCTGAGATCATGACCTAAGCTGATGTCTTTGTACCTTTTTACATTTAAGCTGGGTAAATTCTGGAAATCCCAATCAGAAATAAGCCAGGTTCCAAATACCCTAGGTAAGCAACACTGCTCTCATGGGGCGGGCGACTTGTGATTCACCCTCTACTTAACCCCTTCTCTCCATTCAAGAATCACTGACTTAAGTGTTGAATTTAATTGCTATTTGTAAATATAAGTTGGATTCAGTTTACCCACATTATTTGTGCGTATATAGCCTTTTAAATGCCTTGTTAAATGTATTTTAAAAATTGCTCTAATCTTTGCTGCCAGTTTTAATAGACATTTTTCTTGTCTTTCTCTTTTTAAATTCAGAACCTTTATATTTAAAGTATCCAGAAATGAAAAGAAAGGTAGTGAACGCTGGCAAGCTGAGATTGAGTCCTAATGAGGAAGCTTACGTTTTAAAGGAAGATTATGAAAGACGACGAAAACTAAGATTGTTGCAGGTAAGATTCATCTGGAACAAGGTTTCATATTTTTTGTCTTCCCCAAATTATTAGTGTTTTTCACAGAAGTTTAAAACCCTTTTCTGGCTGTATAAGAATCCTGGTTCTTGTATATTAACTAGTTTAGGAAAATTTGAAAAATAAGCTGAAAATAGGCTGAAATGGTAAATAGATGAAGAAGAATTTGAGAATAGGGATTAGTTGACTGTATAATTATTGGAAAATGGTGTTTGTTTTGTTTTTATTTTTGGAAAATGGTTTTTTAAACATTTTTCAAACTATGCTATATAACTGATGAAGATTAGATTAGAAAGATTCAAATGGGGCAGCCCCGGTGGCTCAGCGGTTTAGCGCTGCCTTTGGCCTGGGGCATGGTCCTGGAGATCTGGGATTGAGTCCCGCATCTGGCACCCTGCATGGAGCCTGCTTCTCCCTCTGCCTGTGTCTCTGCCTCTCTCTGTGTATCTGTCATGAATGAATGGATGGAATCGTTTAAAAAAAAAAAAAAAAAAAGAAAGATTAAAATGGCTTTGAAGAAAACTTACTGGAATTAGCTGCTGAAACAAATTTATTTAGCAGTTGTAGATTATTTTCTAGAAGTCTTTTCAGAGTAAGATAATTAAGCCCTTGTGAAGTGTGTTTTAGGTGCCATTCTGTCTAGAATTGGGGATGATGTACCACATATATGAACTTCTCATCTAATGCTATCTATACACAACTGGGCTATAAATTTTATTGATCTCCTTAATATTTTAACGTCATAGGTTATTAAAATGATAATGGTAGTCCTGTTAATGCTTGGGTTGGGGAGGAGAAGATAATAGCTAATAAGTTAAAGAACTTTAGAAGTAGTCTTGAGGTTTTGACTTTTTTACTATGTAGGCCTCATCTAATACCTGAATATTCAGGAGAATTGATCTACCTGAGGAGAATTCACTTAAGTTTCTATTTACAAAAAGCTTTTCAAAAAACTTGAAGTAAGCTTCTTTTCATATAATTTGTTAAATATGCATTCCTTAGGTTCGAGAACAAGAAAGAGATATTGCTTTACAGATAAGAGAGGATATAAAACAGAGGAGAAGTCAGCAATTAACTCGTTTGGCAGAGGAACTAAGGACAGAATGGAAAGAATCACAAACTCAGAAAATAAAGAACTTGGAAAGACTATATTTGGCAAGTTTAAGAACTATGGGTGAAGGACACCAACAGGCCAAAGAAAATGTAAGTGAATGCTTATTTGACTACCTGTCTGGTAGTGGCATTGGTAAAAAGTAAATTACATTTATTAAATGTATATTTAGTATACATGCATGTATAGAACTTGTTTTGGCCAGCATGAACTTCTTTTTGTTTTCTACAGTTATTATTTTTTTTTAAATTAAAGTATAGTTGACATACATAATATTAGTTTCAGGTATATAACATAGTGATTTAACAATTACATACATTATGCAGTGCTCAACCTGATAGGTGTAGTTACCATCTATCAGCATACAAAGTTACTATAATAATATTGACTATATTCCCTATGCTATACTTTTCATTCCCACGACTTATTTATTTTATGAGAAGTTTGTATCTCTTAATCCCCTTCACCTTTTTCCCTTGTCTCACACCAACTCACATTGGCAACCACCAATTTATTCTGTTTATTAGTTGGTTTACTAGATGATTTCTATTTTTTGAATGTTCATTTGTTTTGCTTTTTAGATTACACATACAAGTCTTTGAATTATTTTAGCACATTATGCATAAGTTCCATCCATACTGCTACAGATGGCAGGATATTATTATTATTATTATTATTATTATTATTATTGATTGAGTGATACTCCATTGTGTATATACGCCGTATCTTTACCCATGTATCTGTCAGTGAATACTTGGGCTGCTTCCATACATTGGCTATTGTAAATAATGATGCAGTAAACATGGGGTTGCTTATATCTTTTTGAATTGGAGTTTTCATTTTCTTTGAGTGGATATCCAGCAGTTAAATTACTGGATTGCTTGGTATTTTTATTTTGAATTTTTTCAAGAACCTCTGTACTGTTTTCCACAGTGGCTATACCAGTTTACATTTCCATCAACAGTGCATTAGGATTCCCTTTTTCCTATAACCTCATTTCTTTTTGATACTAGCCATTATGACTGTGTGAGATGGTAGCTCATTGTGGTTCTGTTTTGCATTCCTCTAATTAGTCATGTTGAGCATCTTTTCATGCGTCTGTTGGCCAGCTATGTCTTCTTGGAAAACTGTCTATTCAGGTCCTCTGCCTATTTTTAAATTGGATTATTTGATTTTTGTTTTGAGTTGTATGAGTTACTTATATATTTTGGATAATAATGCTTTATCTGATGGATCATTTGCAGATATTTTCTCCCATTCAGTAGGTTGCCTTTTCATCTTATTGTTGGTTTCCTTTGCTATGACAGAACTTTTTAGTTTGATGTAATCCCAGTTGTCTTATTTTTGCTTTGTTTCTCTTGCCTGAGGAGACAAATCCAGAAAAACAATGCCAAGGCTGATTCCCAAGAAATTACTACTTATGTTTTTCTTTTACAAGTTTAATGGTTTCAGGGCTTACATTTAGGTCTTTAATTCATCTTGGTTTAATTTTGTGTATGGTATAAGGAAGTGGTCCAGTTTTATTCTTTTGCATATAGCTGTCCAATTTTTCTGACACTATTTATTGAAGATCCTGTCTTTTCTCCATTGAATATTCTTCCTCCTTTGTCGCAGATTAATTGACCATATAAATGTCGCAGTTTATTTCTGGGCTCTATTCTGTTCCATTGATCTAACTGTTTTTGTGCTGGTACCATACTGTTTTGATTACTGTATTTTTTTAGTACAGTTTGTGTAATGCCTCCAGTTTTTTTGTTCTTTCTTAATATTGTTTTGGCTAATTGGGGTCTTTGTGGTTCCATGCAGATTTTAGGATTATTTGTTCTAGTTCTGTGGAAAATACTACTGATATTTTGATAGGGATTGTATTGACTCTGTAGGTTGCTTTATTTTTTATTTTTATTTTTTTTAAAGATTTATTTATTTACTTATTCAGAGAAAGCGAAAGAGAGGCAGAGACACAGGCAGAGAGAGAAGCAGGCTCCATGCGGGGAGCCCGACGCGGGACTTCATCCCGGGTCTCCAGGATCACACCCCAAGCTGCAGGCGGCGCTAAACTGCTGCGCCACCGGGGCTGCCCTGTAGGTTGCTTTAGATAGTATGGACATTTTAACAATATTCTTCCAATCCGTGAACATTTGATTATCTTTCCATTTATTTGTATCATCTTCAGTTTCTTTCATCAGTGTTTTATAATTTTCAGAGTACAGGTCTTTTCGCCTTGGGTAAATTTATTCCTGAGTATTTTTATTCCTTGTGGTGTAATTGTAAATGGGATTGTTTCTTAATTTCTCTTTCTGCTTTGTTATTAATGTATAGAAGTGCTACAGATTTCTTCTGCATATTAATTTTGTGTCTGCAACTTTACTGAATTTATTGTAATAGCTTTTTGGTTGAGTCTTCAGGGTTTTCTGTATGTAAAGCCATGTCGTCTGCAAATAGTAACAGTTTTACCTCTTCCTTTCCAATTTGGATGCCTTTTATTTCTTGTGTGATTTGTTGCTAGGAATTCCAGTACTATGTTGAATAATAGAGGAGACATCCTTGTCTTGTTTCTGATCTCAGGGGAAGAGCTTTCAACTTTTCACCATTGAGTATGATGTTAACTATGGGTATCTCATAAATGCCTAATTTTTTTGAGATATGTTCCCTCTGCACTCATTTTGTTGAGGGTTTTTATCATGAATGGTTGTTGATGAGTCAAATGCTTTTCCTTCATCTGTTGAAATCGATCATATGGTTTTTGCCCTTCGTTTTGTTAATGTGTATCTCATTAATTGAGTTGTGGTTTCTGAACCATCCTTGCATTCGTAGACTAAATTGTAGTTGATTGTGGTAAGTGATCCTTTTAATATATTGTTGAATTCAGTTTGCTCACTGTTTTGTTGAGGATTTTTGCATCTATGTTCATCAGGGATATTGGCCTGTGATTTTCTTTTTCTGCAATTTCTCTGTGGTTGTGGTATCAGCGTTATTCTGGCCTTGTAGAATGAATTTAGAAACATTCCTCCCTCTTCTATTTTATGAGATAGCTTAAGAAAGGGTCAGTATTAACTTTTTTTTTTTTTTTAAATGTTTGGTAGAATTCACTGGAAGCCATCTGGTCCTGGACCTCTATTTGTTGGGAGTTTTTTGATTATTGATTCAATTTTATTATGAGTAATCAATCTGTTCATATTTTCTATTTCTTCCTGATTCAATCTTGGACAATTGATTGTTTCTGGGAATTTATCCATTTTTTCTAGGTTGCCCAGTTTGTTGGTGTATCATTTTTCATAGCAATCTCTTCTAATCCTTTGTTTTTCTTTTTTTTTTTTTTTTTTTTTTTTTTTTTTTTTTTTAAATTTTTTTTATTTATTTATGATAGGCACACAGTGAGAGAGAGAGAGGCAGAGACACAGGCAGAGGGAGAAGCAGGCTCCATGCACCGGGAGCCCGACGTGGGATTCGATCCCGGGTCTCCAGGATCGCGCCCTGGGCCAAAGGCAGGCGCCAAACCACTGCGCCACCCAGGGATCCCTAATCCTTTGTTTTTCTGTGGTGTAACTTCTCTTTCAAATTTTATTTGAATGATCTTTCTTTTTTCTTGATGAATCTACCAAACTGTTTTTCAAAGAACCTGCTTGGTTCACTGATACTGTTTTTTTTTTTTTTTAATCTCTATTTCATTTATTTCCACTCTGATCTTTATTTCCTTTCTTTTACTAACTTTGGGCTTTGCTGCTTTTGGTTTTTTAGTTCTTTAGGTGTAAAATTGGTTATTTATATGAAATTTTTCTTGTTTCTTGATAGAGGCCTATATTGCTATAAACTTTCCTTTTAGAACTGCTTTTGCTGCATCCCAAAGAATTTGAACCATTGTTTCCATTTTCATTTGTTTCTAGTATTTTTTTTTATTTCTTCTTTGATTTCTTTGTTACCCATTTGTTGTTGATAGCATGTTGTTTTTCCATGTGTTTGTTTTTTGTCAGTTTTTCTCTTGTAATTGATTTCTAGTTTCATACTGTTGTGGTCAGAAAAGCTCTTGATATGATTTGACTTACTGTGTTTATTGAAACTGTTTTGTGGCCTAACATGTAATCTATCCTAGGGGATGTTCCATGTGCACTCGAAAAGAATGTATTCTGCTTTTGTTTTCTGTTTTTTTGTTTTGTTTTGTTTTGATGGAATGTAATCACTATATTTTGAGTCCATCTATCTGGATGATCTGTGGATGTAAGTGGCTGTTAGAGTCCCCTACTGTTATTGTATTAGTGTCACTTTCTCCCCATATGTCTGTTAATATATGCTTTATATATTTAGGTGTTCCTATGTTAGGTGCCTAGATATTTACCATTGTTATAGCCTCTTGTCAGATTGATCCCTTTCTATCATGTAGTGCCTTTGTCTCTTGGTGTAGTCTGTTTTAAGGTCTGTTTTGTTTGATAATAGATATTGTTACCCTGGCTTAGACACATTCTAATTCTGTGTCTTGGGGTGGGCCTCCTTGGTTTCATGGTGTTAGGTCCTCCCTGTCCTTCCTGGACCGGGAAGTCTGTTTACTTCCCCAGGTTAGGAAAGTTTTCAGCTGTTGTTTCTTCACGTTTTCTGCGCCTTTATTCTTCTCTGGGATCCCTATAACATGAATGCTATTAAACTTGGTAGTGTCTTAGGTCCCTTAACCTATTCATTTTTAAAATTATTATCGGGGGATCCCTGGGTGTCTCCACGGTTTGGCACCTGCCTTTGGCCCAGGGAGCGATCCTGGAGTCCCGGGATCGAGTCCCGCGTCAGGCTTCCGGCATGGAGCCTGCTTCTCCATCTGCCTGTGTCTCTGCCCCCCCCCCCTGTCTATGAATAAATAATAAATAAAAATCTTTAAAAAAAATAAAAAATAAAATAAAATAAAATTATTATCGTTATATTTTATTTTTGCTGTTTGGGTGCTTTCCACCACCCTGTTTTCCAGCTCAGTAATTCATTCTTCTGTATCCTTCCACTTACTATTGACTCCCTCTAGTGTATTTTTCATTTCAGTTATTGTATTCTTCAACTCTGACTGGTTCTTTTTTATATTTTCTCTCTCTTTGTCTTAGTTCTAACTGAATTCATCCACTCTTAAATTTGGTGAGCATCTTTCTCATCATTACTTATAACTCTTTACTAGATATATTGCCTAACTCCATTTTGTTTAGTTCCTTTACTGTGGTTTTGCCTTGTTCTTTCATTTGGAACATATTCCTCTGTCTCCTCATTTTGTCTGACTTTCTATGTTTATTTCTGAGAATTAAGTGGAACAGCTCCCTCTCCTGGTCTTGAGGGAGTGGCCTTATGTAGGAATGTCCCTATTGTAGACTGAGTGTGCCTGGTAGCTTTGGCTAGCCAGCAGGGGCTGGTACAGTTGTGGGACAGGACCCTGGTGTGCTACACTAAGGGATCACCCTGGTGGGACAACCAGAGTGGGCTTGGGCATGGACCAGAAGTCTCAGATGTCTCTGCTGGGGCCATATTGGCAAGGACTAAACTGGAACAGGCTGGAGTTCAGGGATGCTCCAGGTCAGGACTGTCCGGCAGACCTGCCTCAATTTTTTTGTATATTAATATAATTAATAGTGCTGCTAGATGTATTTCCTGGTAAGAGTCATGTCAGGTAAAATCTGTGTTCATATGGTGTTTAAACTGCAGTTATTCTCTTCCAATCCTTAACTATCTGGGTAAATAAAATAACCTTCTGAATCAGAAGTTGATTGTTTTGGGCATTCTGGGTGGCTCGGCGGTTTAGCACTGCCTTCAGCGCAGGGCGTGATCCTGGAGACCTAGTATCGAGTCCCATGTCAGGCTTCCTGCATGAAGCCTGCTCCTCCCTCTGCCTATGTCTCTGCCTCTTTCTCTCTGTGTTTCTCATGAATGAATAAATAAAGTATTTTTTTAAAAAGTTGATTGTTTCAAGCATTTTGGACAAGTCCATTGGGGTGAATCACTATCTGGGTAAATAAAATAATTTGCTGAATTAGAAGTTGTTTGTTTCAAGCATTTGGGACAGATCCATTGGGGTGAATTCAGATTTCCCATTTTATTATAATTCCTCATAACTCTAAAACATGTATAGTTGAATGTGTATATATTTGGACTTTGTTCACAAATAGTAAAAATTCTTTGATGACTTTCAGAGAGACAAAATAGAACTTTAAGACTGTTCACTAAAAAAAAAAAAAAAAAAAAAAGACTGTTCACTGACCATGTGTTGTTTATTGTGAATTATGTTTGGAAAAGACTAGATTGTGGACCCAGGGATAGTCGCACAAAACAAATAACCTGGTTCCAGAGAAGGCAGGTCTTTGATATCAAATATTAGTGAGGAAAATAAATATTTTTAAAGTATGTGACAATGAAATATGTTCCTTGATTCCTGGGTTTAATCTGTATTTTTAGTAATAGCCTTAGGTTGTGACATTTGATTTTTTATGCCACCATTAACTTTATGCTTTAATGCAGCATTTCCCAAACCTGTCATTTGAATATCTTCATGATTGTGCCTTGACTGGAGAGGCACATTTTATTATTTCTATGTTAGGCATTTTAATCTTGTTTAATATAACATTTTAAATAATATGCATTTTTAGGAACCTGATTTGAATGCTCTGGCCCGACGGGCAGCAGAAAGAAAAAGAAAAGCAGAAATGAGGCACAAAGAGGCTCTGAAATTACAGAAAAATAAAAAAGAAGAACTAATGAAACAAAAAACCTGGTAAAGTCATAATGATTTTTACCACATTTTCCACTGAAATTTGATATGGGTAGAAGTAGAGAGTACATTGGATTCTGTTTAAGCAGGTTTAAATATAAGTCATACGGCATATCCATTGGTTTGTTAAACTTGGTTTAGTAATAATGTGGTAGAGGTGTGGTTTACCTAGGTGCACAAAGTAACACTTAAACTTTCTCCTCTCCTGTGACTTCAGCAATTACTTAGTTTCTTTTTCTTTTTTTTTTTTTAATTACTTAGTTTCTGTAGAAATATATGGCTAGTTCAAAATGCACGTCCCCCCCAAATCTGTCTGCCTCGGGTGTGGAAAAAAAGAAAGAATAATCAGTGCAATTAAGAACATGAAAAGAGGTTTAAGCTCTTGGCAAATCATTTTTGCATGTTGTAAAGATGATGGAGCCTGTTACTAGTCAGCAGTACTCATTCTATACAGTGGCCCATCTTTATCAACATTTCTAGTTTTTTACCTATACTATTCTAAATAAAGAAATGTTAGTGTTGGGTCAATTTCACTGTAGGGCTTTATGTCTTTAAAGATATACTTCTTTTACTTGGTAAACATTTTCTTTTGTGTTCAGTGTAAGTAGACTGTTATTAAACAGCATTTTGAGCTTGTGGGATCAAACTGGAGCATTTCTTAGATCCTGTGGCTTCTGTATTTCAGACCCTGAGGGTTGTGCTATAATATTACTTGAGGGACTAATATAGGACATCTCTTGTTTTTCAAGGCATATAGCAGCTCGAAAGGAAGCACTGATTGTGGAAAAAAAGAGATCTGCCAAAATTACAAGTCTGCCACCACCACCTCCAAGTCTTTTTGAGGTGAATTGCTTTGAGTGTTGAGAAGAACTAGATTGTAATAATTGCTCTTTACTATTAGAATTCAGAGTGCAGGTCAAAATATCATTTGTTTAAACTTAATTTTTAAGTTTATAGGTAACACATGAATATGTCTGGAGTATTTAAAAATAATGCTAGATATCATTTTGCCCATTCTTTAATATGTATTTCTGATGTATAAGTACTTTTTCCTTAAAGCCCAGCACTAATATTCCTGATGTCTAATAGTCTATATTCAGTTTTCACCAATTGTCTTAGTGTTTTTTAGGTTCAAAAACTATGTTTTTTATTTTTAAAAAATTAGAAATGGCCTTTTTTATCTTTATCTCTTGGGGGAAAAAAATCTAGTTTATTTGCCCTATCAACTTTTTCCACTTTCAAGATTTGAGTGTTATAAATTGTTACTATTTGTAGGTAAAGTAGTTAGGTTCAGATAAATTTATACAAGGTTATACATAAAGTGGATGAGAAATCTATTTCTCTATGTGAGTAATTTGTGTGCTTTTGTGACCTGGGGCTTATTTTTGAAAAAACATTAAGTAAAGTGGAAATTATTTTTAAAAAGTGTTCTTTTGTTTTACAGTAGCTTGTTGTAGTTATTGAAATGGCTGTTTGGGTGATTATCACAATTACATAATTGTTTTAATCTAAAAAGTAGAAGTGAAAAAAAACCCATAAACAGGGGATATCTAATTTCATTATATATACAAGTATATTTTATGTATGTAAGATCAACATATGTACCAGATATTGCCCTCTTAAGCCTTTGATTTTATCAGCCTTCCCACTTTTATGTGGAGCCATCTGCCATGCCACATTTGATCCAACAAGATTCAAATGGGAGAGTCAGATTTCAGTCAATCCCTCACTATGGTGTTAAAAGGCAAGCAGTAGTTTATCCATGATGCTTTTTGGTGACCTTTATTGTAATTCCTAATGTTCCTAACAAGTCAAGTCAAATATTTACATAAAGCAGAGTATTATCTGTGTAAGTGATTTGGCAAATATGAATTATGTGCAAATGTGTAGTTGTAGGTTTTTTATTGTGAAGAATTTTAAAATACAGAGAAGTTAAAAGGAAAGTACAATGAGTAGCTGCTTACTCTCTACATGTGTATAGATTTCAAATAGTTATATGACTGTATATATTTGAATGTAAATTGTAAAGATGACATTTCATCCTGAGTGCTTCATTATGCTCCTTATAAGGATTTTCTCTTATGCAACCACAGTACCACACTAAGGAAATTAATATTGGTTTATTTATATACAGTCCATAATCAAGATTCCCCAGTTGTCCCTAAACTGTTTTATTTTACAACTTCTTTCTTTTTTAAACCAGAATCCAGTCGGGCTTCACCCATTGTGTCTGCTTGTTTTTGTCTTACTGTCTCTCAGTATAGAACGATGTAATAAACTGTACAGCATCACGGAGTTAGTATTCTTGTATACTCTAGCTTTTAAACCTGTATTCCAGAGTAATGGAAATATAACATGTGATGCTGTAGAGAAAAATGAATAAGGATAATTGATTAAATACAAAATTCCTTTTTTTATTGGGTCAAGCTTTAATTGAAAATTAATACTGTTAACCTAATAATCCATTGTCTATATTCCTTTTTCAGAACATTGATCTAAAGACAACATCTAATGTGAAAACTGGTAGTTCCACCTATCATCATCTTTGCACTTTTGTGAATAGAGAGATGGACACAAAGCAGGTGATTGACTTACTGTTGTTCACAATCCTCACTTTATTTCTCTGTTCATTGAAGTCAGTTATATCTATACGTGTTCTTTGTGAAAAATTTGGAACTATACACATAAACTATAGGAAAAACAACTAAAGTTCCATCACCAAAAAGTAATGTGATTAATCCATTAATGAATTCATTATAGCCTTTATATGTAAAAATATATGCATAATTTTCAAAGCATAATTTTTTATAGGCACTTAATATTTCATCATAGATTTAACCATTGTTATCTTGTTCATTTCTTTTTTCTTCTGTAAATAATGCAAACATGATAATCTTGTACATTTTTGTCTGCAACTCTGAGGTATGTTTAGAGTGGACTTCTAGAAGAGAAAGTACTGGTTCCAGACTATGTAACATTCGATGCAGATACTTGGTATGGATTGTAAAATTGCCTTTAAAAAGTATCAGAAACTGTGGAAGGAACCTCGGTGTCCATCGAAAGATGAATGGATAAAGAAGATGTGGTTTATGTATACAATGGAATATTACTCAGCCATTAGAAATGACAAATACCCACCATTTGCTTCAACGTGGATGGAACTGGAGGGTATTATGCTAAGTGAAATAAGTCAATCGGAGAAGGACAAACATTAAATGGTCTTATTCATTTGGGGAATATAAAAAATAGTGAAAGGGAATAAAGGGGAAAGAAGAAAAAATTAGTAGGAAATATCAGAAAGGGAGACAGAACATGAGAGACTCCTAACTCTGGGGAACGAACTAGGGGTGGTGGAAGGGGAGGTGGGCGGGGGGTGGGGGTAACTGAGTGACAGGCACTGAGGGGGGGCACTTGACGGGATGAGCACTGGGTGTTATTCTATATGTTGGCAGATTGAACACCAATAAAAAATAAATTTATAAAAAAATAAAATAAAATAAAAATTCTCCAAAAAAATAAAAAGTATCGGCAACATATGAGAATGGCCATCTTATCATACCCTTATCCATTCCCTTGTATGGATTATTATGGTTTAGAAATTACTGCCAGTCTCAAGAGTGATAAATGATCTTTGTTATTGAAGTTGCTATTTCATTGTAATTGGATTTTAATTTCTTTTCATATTGGGTATATTTGACTACTAGGAAAACAAACAATATAGTTTTCCTGTGGAGTTTAGAATGCAGCAAATACACATTTTTGTTAACTGCTTAATGGCAGTTGTTAAAATCACTCCTCAGTCAAGACCTAAGATGAGTATTCTTAACCGTAGAATTAACTTCTAAGAAATAAGAATAAATCTTGATTTGTTTAAAATTGTAAATTATTATTACAATTTATTATTATAACATAGAAATAATAACTTCAGTCTGTGGCTAACTTGCTTTTGTGGTTACTACACTACAGTTTGCACTACCAAATAGATGTTCTCTCTCAAGTAACATTGGTGAACAAAAACTTGTTTTTACCTAGCCGTTGTATAGGGTACCACTCATGGTCCTATAGTAAGATATTAAACTTTTCTCTTTGATAGTAACTGAAAGACCTCTCTCCTCTTCTGTCTCTGAATTGAAGATTAGATCAGTTGTCAGAATGCAGTTTTATAAAAACAGTCCCACAAACTAAAGCATCTTGGTATTTTCTTTATACCATTACTTAAGAAAAATCTGCCCCTTTTAAGCCTCAGGTTTAAAATGTGACAGTGGAGCAATGTGTTTGGTTTTCCATATAACAAAATTACCTCTGAATTTTAATCTGCATCTAGGCTTATATCACGTGCACAATAATTTAGCTTCTTTTCTGTGTAGAACGATAGGATCTTTACAGATGGTATTATATAAAAAATACTTGCACACTTGGCATACATGGTTGGTGATTTCTTTAGCAGCTTTCTGCAAATGAACTGTCTTCACGTTTCGGTCAGCCTTTTTAACGTGTACAGGTACTGTCGTGTTTTGCTTGAATATCTTGATAAAGTAGTTCTAAAATCTCATAAAATTTGTCTTTGACTGAAGGATAATCAGTCAGCCTGCTATATCCCCACTTAGAGCCACTTATTCTCTGAATTATGTTTAGTTATGTTTACTTTCTAAACACAACTAATAGACTATGCTTGCAATTTCTAGATTACTCATGGCCTTCTTTGTGTTTGTTCCTTTGTCAATGACAGTTGCATAGAACTTGTTAAAAATGGATTTTTTGGGGATCCCTGGGTGGCTCAGCGGTTTGGTACCTGCCTTTGGCCCAGGGCGTGATCCTGGAGTCCCAGGATCGAGTCCCACATCGGGCTCCCGGCATGGAGCCTGCTTCTCTCTCTGCCTGTGTCTCTGCCTCTCTCTCTCTCTGTCTATCATGAATAAATAAAAAATAAAAAATAAAAATCTTTTAAAAAAATGGATTTTTTATCCTAGATACATTTTTCCAATCAGATGCACTGTATTGTTTGCTGTGAGACCCACTGAAGTAGACAAGTAAAGCAGAAACTTTACTGTAGACAAGTAAAGCAGAAACAGTTCATCAGTTTACTCTGCTGTCATACTTAAAAAGATTTCTGTCCAAATGTCTGATGTACAGGATGCAGAAATAGCATATTTAATAATATCACTTACTGTTTCATGAACTGCAGAGTATAATTCATGGAAAAGTTTTTTAGAAACATGTTTTCTAAAAAGAATTTTTGCTTGGGATTGATTCACAGTTTTTGCAAATTTCATATACCTTTTGAGTTCAACTACTAAAAGTATAACATTTATTTCAACTAGATTTTTATCTGAATTTTTAGTGTCATTAAACACAAATCTATGAAGGGTTGTCTTCCTAAAAAATTCTTGTAAAATCTTGTTTTCAAGTTTGGGTAGTCATTCTAACCCTTTATCTTCTTCATATCCTTAATATACATCATTATGTTTGAAAAGAATATGTTTATTGTGAATTATATTTTGAAGTTTTTCTCTTCTTTAAAATTTTGGTTAAGCAGAGTTGACATTCTGCTATTACTTCACCCTAAAATGATGTGACGAATTTCTAAACAATTTTTTTCTTAAAAATTTCATGGCATAAATGAAATGAAATATTGTTCCTAAGAGTTATTTCATTTATAAATATTTTGGAGACCATAATATTGATTTAATCTACCTTTTGTTCTGCCTGGTGTTACGTAGATTTGCATAAATATTGACTCAAAAGGGATATAACACTGAAGGTGTTGAAGTGGTCTACTTGCTCCCAAACACAACGTCTCTAATTTAGCCTCCAGATCAAGGGCCATAAGGTACTAAGTGACATGAGGGACAAAGCACCTATAGAACCAATCTAGAAAAAGGGTTCTAGTTGTCCAGGCCTTCTTGTACAACCAAAGGACTGGCAGCTGAGGTTTATCGTTTCCCTTCTGAGGGCTCGAGGGTTACAGCTTTATAGATAAGGTCAGTCTTGATCATAAATCTGTGCGTGTGCACAAAACAGAGTTAACCCATCCCTCTGCCTTAAACCCCTGGTGCTCGTCTCTTTTCCTTACTAATAAATGCCTTTTGTGGCTACCCCCACCCCCACCCTATAGAGTATTTTCCTCTGCAGTAGAAACCTATTCAGGCTGCTATCTATCCTTTCCCCTCATTGATTTTCTTAATTACACCTCAGAAACTGCTGCTGTTTGGTCAGCAGAAGCTGTAGCTCCTGTCTTGATGTTTTTTAAGCTAAATCTCTTAAAATTGTCAAACCATCTTATACTTGTTTTAAAATTTCCAGCTTTAAATCTTTCACCTTCCTTTTGCTTTAAGGCTTCCTTTTTCTTGAATCATATTAGAGTTTATACGTGTCTGTCTTGTAGCAATTGTGCACCGACAGAAAAGCTGGGTTTTCAGTATGAGATAAAAACTTATTTTGTAAAAAGTGCAAAGTTTTCATACCTGTTGTAGCTACAGCTATAAATGTCTTTTTTTTTCTTTTCTTTTTTTTTTTTTTTTTTACAATTTCCTTAACACTGGATTCATGTATCTTGAAATGGCAGGCAATCACAGCTGCAAATCACAATCCATAGTATATAACAAGCAATGCAACTTTTTCTTGTAATGACTTATTTCTACTTCTTGGAAGCACTTCCAGCATTGCTAGTGGTACTTTGTATGGGTCCCATGATGTCATTCAGAGTATTGCACTAACACAATGAAAAATACACAAGAACCACAAGACACCACTTTTTACCACTATATGCAATTTATGGAGAGATGAATTGTGACACTAGGCTGATGAAATACTTGTGCTCACTGCAATAGCAAGAAGACATGGCTAAAAGATTTTAATAGTAGTTCAGTAGGCACTATAGTGAATTTTATGGAGTTATGACTTTGAATCTTTGTGCTTGTATAAGTTTTGATCAATTTTAACTTTATAATTTCTATGTATTTATGGCAGTAAATGATAAAATAGGTTAATAACTTACATATATTTTATGCATTCGTGACATATCCAACTTAATTTTTTTCAATATAGTTTTAAAGACTTCATTTATTCATTTGAGAGAGAGAGCACAAGCAAGGGGAGGGGCAGGGGAAGAAGCAGGATCTCCACTGAGCAGGGAGCCTGATGTGGGGCTCAATCACAGGACCTTGGAATCATGACCTGAGCTAAAGACAGACACTTAACCAACTGAGTCACCCGGGCACCCCAATTTTTTTCAATATTTCCAGGCTACATGATTCATCTGCGAGTTTTTTCAGATTGTTGCAAATCTCCAAATATTTCCCAATATATTTATTGGAGAAAAAAAATGTATAAGTGGATTCACAGTTTAAACCCATATTCAGGGTCAACTATGATAGCTTTCATAGTCATCATTATTTCACCTAAGAATTTCAACATATAAAGTACATAAGAAGAGGTTTACTTAAAGTTATGTTTGGAATGCTTACTCACATTTGAAAGTGAACATTCAGGCATAATAGGAAATCTAGGTTATGTGCCCTTCTCCCGCTTACTTGCTATTATTAGCTTGGTGAAATGACAGCTGACCGTACAGCCACATAATTGTTGATTATGCACAAGTTTTAGAAGTCATAAATTAATATTAAAGTAGTTGGTGATTTGGCCTTCCTGAATTTGAAGTCAAAAAGCAGCAGATGTTGACTGAAAACCAAAGACAAATCTCACTGCTTCCCTGAATGACCTTTGATGTCTGTGGTTTCTTGAACTACGAGCTTTGTGCTTACGGCACTCTTGTTTTACTGAGGTTTCTTAAAACGATGGAGAAATGTGACTGGGTATGAATAATCTGGTATAAAATGAACCAACTTCTCAAACTTCCACTAACAGTTTGATATTTTTCATAATATCTGCATTTGGTAATTGTGGGCATTTACAAATACAACTCTTCTTATTTAATTTTATAGAAGTAGGAAAGCATGATTTTAAAGTCGTTTCTTAGTTAACCACATTGTTTCACAATTTTTAAATCTGTCTAAAATGTTATTGACTGCTAGCCAGATCCTCATTTGGCTGCTGAAGAAGAAGCTAAAAGAAGAGAAGAATGGCAAAAACAAGTGGCGCAGGAGAGAATGGAACAGCATGAAAAGGCACACACACGGGGTTTCCAAGCAATGAAGAAGATACATTTGGCTCAAGTAAGAATTCTGGCTGGGACCACTATTGGTAGATGGAGTGATAGACTTTAGAACTTACTGATGAGTAACTAGTTTCAAAGTACAGAGGTTACAAAGAATGTGAAAATAACAGTCTTTGACTCATGCCATTTCAAGTTTCCTAACTTTTACTTCCAGTTTCAAATTCAGACTGAGTGAATCAGTTCTCACACTGTCTGTTACTGTTCTAAAAGTTTTTATAGTGATGAATTTGTTAAAAGTTAGATATCTTAATCAGCCAGAAATGACCTGAAAAGAAATTACTTTTCTCTTTTAATGAATTGCATTTCTGGGCAGCCCCGATGGCTCAGCGGTTTAGCGCCGCCTGCAGCCCAGGGTGTGATCCTGGAGACCCTGGATCAAGTCCCACGTCAGGCTCTCTGCATGGAGCCTGCTTCTCCCTCTGCCTGTGTCTCTGCCTCTCATTCTCTCTCTGTGTTTCTATGAATAAATAAATAAAATATTTAAAAAAAAATGAATTGCATTTGTGCTCTGCAAATTTTAGGATTCTGTTTATTAAATATTTACTAAGCAGAGCATTTGTTGGCTTTGCAAAGTCTTGATTCAAAGGTAGAGTCATGATCCTAGCTCTCAGGAAGCTTTGAAAAACTGTCCCAGAGCTATACAATATGTATGATGAAAACTGGCTTTATACTTTTAGCTTCATTTATTTCTCTCATGTTTATCCTGAAAGATAACATAAAAATGATTCATTTTTGAAGTAAAATGATTTCTTCTGTATTTTACTAATACATGTGAATGTTTCAAACACTCATGTGAAGAGTGAGCTTTTAAGTATTTCTGTGGGAATTTAAAAGCCTTAAAAGTTCCTTGGTATAGTTTTAACTAATTTATACATGACCTCCCTTAAAGTTTTAGATTTTATAAACTGGGAGTAAATTATGACTAAAATAGCTGATTGTCTGAATTATTACCAGTAATTCTTACCTAAGACTTAAATTGATAGGAAAAAAATGTGAAAAGCAATCATAAACTGAACACATTCTTCCATAAATCAGTAGTGTGTAGTGGTTAAGAAGGTAGACTCCACAGGCTGCCTGGTATTTTCTCCCTTCCTCACTGCTTAACTGATCTCGGGCAATTTACCTAACATCTCTGAATTCTGTTTTATAGTCTGTTTTTGAGGACAAACGAATTTAGTAAAGCCCTTAGAATTATGCCTGGAATTACATAAACTAACAGCAAATGTCAATGGTGATAGTAGTTGTTATTATAAAATAATTTAAGTAGGGATCCCTGGGTGGCGCAGCGGTTTGGCGCCTGCCTTTGGCCCAGGGCGCGATCCTGGAGACCCGGGATCGAATCCCACATCGGGCTCCCGGTGCATGGAGCCTGCTTCTCCCTCTGCCTGTGTCTCTGCGCCTCTCTCTCTCTCTCTCTCTCTCTGTGACTATCATAAATAAATAAAAATAAAAAAAAATAAAATAATTTAAGTAGAATAATATGTCATACTTTCAGTGAGCCAGAAATAGTATGTTTATTCAAATAACTTTGAAGTAAATTCAGTGAAATCATTTGAATCTTATTATAAAAGAAATGACTTTGTAAAACTTAACAGAAGACTAAGTAATGTTGTGTGTATTATCACTTGGCAAATACTATTACACAGGCTTTCTGCCCTTTTTGTAGACTTAGTGTCTCTTACATGAGAATGGTAATCAAAACCTGCAGTCTCACCACTGGTAGGGGATTTCCTTTTCCTTGTGGAGCCTTTTTGCTGCAGACCCCATTGTGCCTTGGGATCTTATTTCCTGCTAGTGTCTGTTGTAACTAGTATTTGGCCTCTACCTGCTTCTCCAGTAATATCTTTTCTTCTTGATCATCCTCCGCACCCTTTCGACCCATATCCTAGAGCAGTGTACTCTTCTCAATGCCCCATGCCTTCATCTCCATGCCTCTTGCTCCAGTTATTGTTTCTTACGTGAACTCCATCCTCTTCACCCCCGTCTATCTCATCCTCAATTCAGGAGAGGAGAGGTCTTCTCTTATCTTCCTTCACTATCTTGCACCACCAGAATTTAATTAAATAACCTCACTAAAACACTGTACTTATTAAACTTCCATATTAACCAGACTTTTTAAGCTTAAAGAGGTACATACAGATCCCTTTTCATCATGGGGAATTCATGAGTGTGAAGTAGCAAGAAATATCTGTTAAGCCACAGTCACTCTGGGTCTTGGTGCTTACCTGGGACTGTTACATACTGGTGGCTGCAGAGAGAACTGGAACAGAGAACATTGCAGGAGCCCCAGCAGCTTATATAGACTATCACTTCACAACCATCCTGAGAAGGGAGATTTGTAAGCAGCAGACAATTTTGAAGCTTTGTGGTTTAAGCAGTACTATCCTTTTGTAATACTAATACTTTTGTAATTAGTATTTTACTAATTACCTGTTTGTTGATCTCTAGGCTAGGAGTGAGACCGTGTTCTTTGCATCTCACATAGCATCTGGCTTTCAATTCATTTTTTTTTGAATGTATAATTAATGTCTTTATGGCAGAATATGGGGGAGGGGCTGGGAGGGAACTCTAGTCCCTGTTTCTCATGATTTCCCCACTTCTCCCTTACTGTAAATGTTACTGTCTGCAGTCTGTGACTGAACTGTTGTTGACTAAGTCCCTCTCTTCTTGAAGACTCAGGAGAAACTAATGAAAGAACTCCAACGGCTACAACAAGAGGACCTAGCTCATCGGAGGCAGAATGTAGCACAGATGCCACCACAACTAGTTGAACTTCCGTACAAACACAGTGAGATGAAAGAAGATTGGCAGAGAGAGCTGGAATTTGCCTTTGAAGACATGTACAATGCAGACAGGAGTAAGACACTTTTAATAAACTTTCAACAATGCTTTTAAGTGTTTTTGTGGGAAAATACATTTGTATTGATGAAGCCGTTTTTATGTTGGGATAAGTTCCCAGGTTGAAAGTGGTCCTAATATTTTAGACTTAGAAATTATAATGGCCTTTAAAATCTTACGCTGAAGTTCTTTTTAGTCATTTCAGAATGGAAACCTATCTCTCTGTTTCTTTATTGAAAAGTGAAAGGAAACCTGATTTTGCGTCTTGAACCAGAACCTTTGCCCACTGTGACTGATCAGATCCAAGATGAAGAACTGGACCTTTCAATGGAACAAGAAAAGTTAGGGGAAACTGAAAGCATTCCGGTGACAGAAGCCGAAACAATATGTTCTAGTGAAGCAGACGGTAAAAACTCCTGAGCTGAATATTACCATATTTCATAGAAAAATGCTAGTAATTTGCCAATAGGAAAATCTGATCTAATTTAATCCAAACAAATGACTAATACTAGGGGGAGTGATGGAAGAAAAAAAGCCATGTTTTTAGATTTCCATCATTAAAATCCTTTTCATATACATAGGAGGAAAGTCATTTGGTTTTTTTGATTTTGGTTGGTTTTTTTGTTAAGATTTTATTTATTCATGAGAGGCAGAGAGGCAGAGACACAGGCAGAGGGAGAAGCAGGCTCCATGCAGAGAGCTCGATGTGGGCCTCGATCCCGGGCCTCCAGGATCACGCCCTGAGCCGAAGGCAGGCGCTTAACCGCCAAGCCACCCATTTGTCCCAGAAAAGTAATTTTGTTCACATGAACATATAATTGAAGGTTTTTAGGCTGAGTTAGATGCTCAATTCTGAATTCCTGTGAAGGCTCAGCATTATCTTTAGACTTTAATCAAATCACCAAGGATACTTTTATTGTTTCACCCACCTTTTTTAGTTTTTTAATTGGGAATATTATTCAAATCTCTAGTTTGTCAGAATTGCAATTCTTGCCTTATCCAAAGGAACAGTTACTTTTTGGCTCCTGCTGATCCCATTTGGAATTGTTCGCTTGATCTTGCCAGCTCTCTTGATTTTTCAAAAGAATCCCATTGATTTTAAAAAATCCTTTTTTTAAAATATTGGCAACGAATTTCTTAAATATGAGTGAGTCACAGACTAATGATGATTGAAAGAAGCCAGGCAGAAAAGAATACCTAAGTATAATCCCATATTTATATGAAGTTTAAAAAAAAGTAAATAGACAAAACTAAACTGGTTTTGAGATTAGAACAGTGGTTATCTTTAGGGGTGTATTGAATAGGAAGGGGCCTGAGGGAGCCTAGTAGGTGCTGGTAATGTTCTACATAATGATCTGGATGGTGTTACGTAGGTATATGTAAAATTTTTCAAGCTGTACACTTAGATTTTGTGTATTTTATTGTTTGTAAGTTAAAATAAAGTATTTTTTAAGAAGTATGTCAGGCAAAACTAGAATTTACCAGTTTTTTACTTAAGTGGATTTCTTAAATTTTATTCCTTGATTAAACCAGAGAACTATGTATTTTCAACACAGTTTTTGTCCTCTTAGAGAGTTGTTTGTACTATGCTGAATTTTGGTGTTGTATTATCAACCCATGGTGGGGGATGTTTGGGAAATAACTTAAAAGATTTTTTTTTTTTAACTGAAGGTATCTCTTTATGAAGATAGGTGGGAGAAATTTTTTCTAGATAGAATAATTTGGGAGTACCTGACTGGCTTTAAGGTTATAACTAGTAATGTTTTCCTCTGTAGCCTACTAAGAAGTCCAGAGCCATATTTGGGACCCCTCTCTAGGATAGAGTATAAAACCTTACAGAACATATTTTGTTTGTTTGTTTGTTTAAGATTATATTTATTTATTCATGAGCGACACAGAGAGGCAGAGACACAGGCAAAGGGAGAAGCAGGCTCCATGCAGGGAGCCCGATGTGGGACTCGATCCTGGGACTCCATGATCACGCCCTGGGCTGAAGGCAGGCACTAAACCGCTGAGCCACCCAAGGACCAACAGAACATATTTTGAATGCTAATCTTGCATCAGTTAATTATGTGATATGCATTCTGTCATCATTAGCAAGCAGAATAAACATTCTCTGTGATAAATTTTTAAGCTTGAAATTGGTGTTGCATATTGTTGAGAAATAGTTGAATTTTGGTGCCTTTATTTAAATTTAAATTGAAAATTATTCCTAGTTGTAAAATTGCAGTTGGGGTCAAATATAATTGTATGTGCTGTTAAATTATAAGTGAAAAATAGATATAAAGTGCTTTTATCTTAACTAGTGTTTGTGGTGGTTACTAAGTATAATAAAATAATTTGCTTAGTATACAACAGGTCCTAAATAAGGTTTTTTTCTTTTCTTTTAGTTCCCTTGGCAGTAAAGACCGACGAAGTCCCTTCAAAAATTCTTTTTAAAAAATTACTAAATAAGATCCGAAGCCAAAAATCTCTCTGGACTATTAAATCCATGTCTGAGGATGAAAGTGAAGTGATTACAACTGTTAGTGAAACAGAGAGTAAAGCACCAACAGTCGAATCAGGAGCAACTTTTGGCGAAGAGAGAACATTATCCTCTGTGCAGGAACAAGGTGGTTCTCTCCAAGAGTCTCATAACACACAGACCCTTTCTGAGTTGTTAAAAAATACGTTCATTCCTGAAAAATCAAAGAATGGTGGTCAAAAGGAAGAAAATGCTTAAAGCCCATAGTGCTGTTACTTCAAAGGCAGTAAATGTTAAAAACCTTCATTAACCTTCTTCCAGACACTTTAACATAGCAGTATTATGTATATATGATTGACCCTTGAACAAAATGAGTTTGAACTACATAGGTCCAATTATAGGCAGGATTTTCTGCATAAATAGAAGATTTTTGGAGCTTGTGACAATTTGAAAAAAAAACAGAGAAACTGCATAGCCTAGAATTACAGAAAAAATTAAAAAGTAAGGTATTTTAAGAGTATCATATGTAATACATATAAGATACGAAATATGTATTAATCAACTGACATTGTCATTGGTAAGGCTCCTAGCCAGCCATAGGCTATTAGTTTTTGTTTTTTAAAGATTTTTATTTATTTACTCATGAGAAACAGAGGCAGAGACACAGGCAGAGACACAGGCAGAGGGAGAATCAGGCTCCTCACAGGGAGCCCGATGCGGGACTCAATCCCAGAACCCCGGATCACGCCCTGAGCCAAAGACAGAAGCTCAACCGCTGAGCCACCCAGGCGTCCCACCATAGGCTATTAGTAGTTAAGTGTCTGGGGAGTTAAAAGTCGTAAGTGGGGGGTTTGGCTTCTAACTGTCATTTTCCAAGGGTCAGCTATATAAAGTCCAATGTAACTGAGGAACCAAAATTAACCAGTTTTTGTTTATTTTTTGTGCTATAGTGAGCATCCATTTAGCAGTCAGCCTACATCTTTATTTCCTTAAGAACAACTCTTAAAAGACTTACCGAATCAAAGAATAGGAACATGTTAACAGCTTTTGAATACATTGTATTATTTGTTTCTTTCACAATACCACCAGATACTTGGTTTCTTTGTTACTCTTAAAGAAGGTTTTTTTTTGGGTAGACAAAAAAGCTGTTAAATAAATTTCCAGAAGTTATAAAGGTCAAGGCAGAACATTGTCTGGAGGTACAGACTAACAAGTGAGTTGTGATGACATAATTCCTCTTTGATTTTTCTTTTTAGAGTTTTGTTCTCTGTATTTTTTTTTTTAAATGTGATTGGACTTGTATGGAAGTATTTTGCTACCAGGCTTCTGAAAGAAGTGACTTACAGTCTGTGTCCAGTTTCTGAACTCTATCCTAAGTACAACAGGAAACCTTCTGGAACTAATTTCTTCACTTGACCTCTTGACACCACCCTCAGTTTTCCTGACTTAATGGCTCCTCCTTCATGATTTCCTTTGCTGCTATTCTCATCTCTACAACCACTAGTCATTGTACCCTGAGCTTCTTTCTCAGATCTTTTCACTCTCCCTAGTTAAATGCTCATGTCATGACTTTACATTACCATCTTTATTTTGATGACCTCAGGTGTTTATAGCCTTGACCTATTTGAACTCCACTCATTTAGATTTCTATTTGACACCTTCCCTTGTAGTTACATCTTAAACTTTTCCAAAAGTGGACTCTTAATATCTCTCCCCTGCCCCACTTTTCCCACATCCTTCCACATTTCAGCAAGTGGCAATAACATTCTCTTGCTCAAGTCAAAAAGCTTGTCATTTTAGTTCCCCTTTTTTATATCCTACATCCAAATCATCACAAATCATGTTGGCCTCACCCTTAAAACCTGTCCACATTCCAACTAATTCTCAACACCTACCATCCTAGCTTAAGCTACGTTTCTTGTCCAGTGTAGACCCTTGCAGTAACCTCCTGACTGATCTGTCTTCAGATTTTTTTTTAAAGATTTTATTTATTCATGAGAGACACACACATACACACAGAGAGACATAGGCAGAGGGAGTAGCAGGCTCCATGCAGGAAGCCTGACATGGGACTCTATCCTGGCTCCCCAGGATCACAACCTGGGCCAAAGGTGGCGCTAAACTGCTGAGCCAACCAGGGCTGCCCCTATCTTCAGATTTTGCACCTCCCTGCTGCAGTCTAATCCCAGAGTCATCCTATTAAAGCACAAATAACCTCATGTCATTCCTCTGGGGGAAGCCCTCCGACAACTACCCAATTCATTTGATTAAAACCAAGGTGCTTATGGGGCATCAAAGCCTTATATAATCTGTGCCCACAAATACTGCCTCCCACCATTTCTTTCAACTTCTGTTTCCCTAACTTCATTTTGATTTTTTTTTTTTTTAAGATTTTATTTATTTGAGAGAAAGCATGTATAAGTGAGAGGACACAAGCCGAGGGAGAGGGAGCAGCACGCTCCCTACTGAGCAGGGAGTCCCAATGCAGGGCTAGCAGAGCTTGATCTCAGGACCTTGAGGTCATGACCTGAGTTAAAGGCAGCCATTTAACTGACTGAACCATCCGGGTGCCTCTCTGACTTCATTTTCAACCACACCTTCCTCCCAAATCACTCTCCATAGGCGCTGGCTTCCTGGCTATTCCTCAAACATAGCAAACGTGACTTACATGATTTTACAAATTGCTGGTCTTTTTGGCTGAAATGCTCTTGCATATTTCTATGCAGTACTCCCACTTCCTTCAGATACTTGCTGAGACCTAGCTTTCTAAGCAAAGCCTTCTCTATTCACTCTGTATAAAATGGCAGGTTTCTGCACTCCCCTTCTCCCATACCCCTCACTCCCCATCCCTTTTATCCTTTTTCTCCATTGCTCTTAACGTCCACTCCTTCCATAGCTCTTACCAGCATCTCCTGGACCGTAAATTTACTTTCTTGGCTTATTTGCTTCTTGTCTTGACACTCGACACTGTATATCCTCTAATTCCAGTATAATTGCCATTGAAGTTAGGAATTAGGCTTTGTTCATTGCTGTATCCCCAGGGCCTGGACCAGTGCTTTATACATAACAGATGCTCAGTTAATATTTGTTGGATTGAGTAGCTTAAAACAAGAGAGGTAAGTTAGGAACTCATGTAAATATGATATTTAAAGCCATGAGCATAGAAGAACTCTTAGGGGAAGAATTTGGTGAGAGAGGGCTTATGAGACCATTTGAAAGACTCCAGTATTTAGAAGATGACTAAAGAAGGAGCAGACAGCAAAGGCAGTATAAAAGGAGTGGCCAACAAAGTAGGAGAGAATATGGCTTCAGAATTCAGTAAAACAAGGCTCTTTCATTGTCAATCCATAACATCCATAACCAAGTCGTTTTTTTTTTTTTTTTTTTTTAGTCTCTGTATGAATAGGCTTTCTCCAGCTTCATCTTCCTTCATTCATTCTCTCCCTTGTCTGGCCACACCTCATACTCATTCCTGTGCATCCCCACAATCTTTACCTGGCTGATTCCTCCTTGCCTTTCAGATGTCTGCCTAAATGTCATTTCCTGAAACAAATCTCACCTGAGCCCTTAGTCTAATTCAGATTCTCCTGTGATACTCTACTGTGTAATCCTTTATTTCTTTCATATAGCACTTAGCAGTTTCTTGTTTTGTAATTTTTTCTTAAGATGATTATTTAATGTTTCTGTCATTCCACTTGCCCTGTAAAACCTCCTTTTAGGGCTTTTTAAAATTTGCCAGTATATCCCCGGTGTGTACCACATAAGTAGAATAAGTGAGTGAGTGAGTGAATGCTCGATGCAGAGTTCCTGACTACCCTGATACGATCCAAGAAACTGTTTTAACTTCCTTCTCTGATCTCAGAAATAAGAAAAATCCTTATATCCAAAAATGGCAGGGATGCATTGCCAGTCCTTAAGCTTCTCTTTTTGAACTTAGGTACCTTGTTCATTCTATTCCTCTGTGCTTTTCCCTTGTGTTTGAAACTATCAGTAAACCTTTTTAATCAATTCTTCATTTTTTTCCTTTTGGTTCACAATTTTAGTCTCCCATCTGTCTTCTTAAATTAGGCTTAAGTTTAATGGATAAGTATGTGGTCATCTGGAACATGACTGGATCTTAACTACATGACTGGATCTTAACTAAATATGACAGATGGACCAAAATTGAATTGTTAATCTGAATGCAGGTTTTTGTTGCTTTGTTCAGATTTAAGGTTACAGTGATAATATGTTTGTAATAATGTATCCATTACAGTTGCTGAAAGTGATACTTTAACAGTTGATTCTGGACCACTTACTAGTGAAGAGAAACCACTTTCATTGGATACAGACTCTGAAAGGAAACAAGGTATTTTTTTTATCACATTTTTAAATTAAGCTTGCTTACCTTAACATTTTTTTCCTAATAAAATTACATTTGTCATAAATGAGTAAAGAGAATTATGGCAGTGTCAGAATTCTAAATTATTTAATTTTTGATTTGGGAATTCTCTTAGAAATAAAGGAAGTTCAGCCTATCCCAGCTGTAGCTCAGAGTTCAATTCTACTTCATCCTCAAGAAGAAGCAGTCAGGATTAGAATGGCAGCAAGGCAGAAACAGGTAATCTGAAATTCTTATTTTTAGAGATTTCTTTCTTCTAGGTTCTATAATTTTGTTTGATCAATGAAATTTGTCTTACTGTCTGGCTACTTTTGGTACTACTTATTCTGTCTTGTCTTATGCATTCAGCTGATAGAGAATACTTCATCTTTGCTTACACTATTCATTTGATCCTTACTGCATTTTGTTTTGTATTTAATACTTTTGTTAAAGACAGACGGTCTTTTCGAAAATTCTGTTTACGTAGGTTCTGGTGCAATGCTTTATACATACTAAGGGCTCAATAAATATTTGGTGAAATCAGCTAGACTTTATAACCTCAAAAGCTTTTTTTTTTTTTTTAATAGTATTTCAGAAGAAAAATTGTTGATTCAGCCTCCTTAACTGTAATTATGGTCTGTTTTAATACCAGACTTTTTTTTTTTTTTTTAACACAGATTACCTTGAAAGAGGTTAATTGCTACTAAGCCAGTCGATTTATAGTCCTAGTTTTTATGAAAAAACAGCTCGGGAGTAAGAATTCTATAGACCAGTATTTCTTCTCAGATAAGTTGTTTTCTAATCCGTATTCTAAAGTAGTATTATCCAATAGAGCTTTCACTGGTTACGGAAATGTTCCATATTTATGTCCAGTATGGTACCTGCTAGCTGCATGGGCTATTGAATACTTGAAATATGACTAGTGCAACTGAGTGACTGAGTTTTCGGTTTTATTTAATTTTAATTCATTTGAATTTTAATAGTCACATGCAGCTAGTGACTATTAACAGTGTAGTTCTAGAGATAATACAGAACTGTAAATGGTCTAAGTTCAGTGGCTCCTATGAGTAAGGCAAAGTAAGGAAGTTGCAGACAAGAACTCAGCTGTAGCCACTCTTGCTTGATTAGAAATAGGTAAAATACCAGATTGAGACATTTTTTTTATTTTAAAAACAAGATCGTTCTTCATTATCTCTTGTAGAAGTGTTCCTCTTAATAAAACTTTTATACACTCTTTGGTCTACTTACTCAGTAAATATTTATGTGTTGTTATGTATGTTCTAGGGATTGTACTAGGTGCTGGATTTAGCACATAACCAATCTGACTCGATCCTGTCCTCACGAAACTTGGAGCTCTTCTGACATGTTCTAATACTTGGTTGGATCTGTGTGTGTGTGTGTGTGTGTGTGTGTGTGTGTGTGTGTATAATACTATAGTTTATGTGTCATCCCTGTGCCATTGTCTTCCTGTCAGTTTCACACCTGACAGAAGATGCAGAATGTTGCTCATGTATTATTTGGCCTCTAGATAACTGCACCCCTTGATGGGTATTCCTAAGAAGTCAAAATATTTGTAAGGCTTTGAGAGTTAATTTATTCAGTCAATTTTTCTTACTGAGAACTCTGTAAAATTAAAGATGAGAGCATAGGACTTGGCTGAGCATCATCTGCTGCTTCTCTGGAGGTGGGGGTCTTCAGTGCTGAGCAAGGTTTCACTGTGCTCTCACAAGAAGCAGTGTTTGTTTTCTCCTTCCCCTTCTGCCCCTTTTTCTCCTTTCCCCTTTTCCCATCTCACCCTCTTCTTCTCTCTGGTAGTGGCAATAACATAAAACATTCCTACCTCCTTCTCGGATAACTGGCATTCTTGGTGAAGAGATCTGTTTCTTTTCAATGTTATACATAAAAACTTTTCTTTGTATGAGTTTACTGATAATAGAGTGGTAGTACTTTTTTTTACTTAGATAATGGAAATAGAAGAGCAGAAGCAAAAGCAGTTGGAGTTACTTGAACAGATTGAACAACAGAAGTTACGATTAGAAACTGATCACTTCAGGGCTCAGCTGGAAGAAGAAAAAAGGAGAATGCAACAGACTGGGGTAGGATACAGGAAATCTCATCCCTACATAGATTGTCGGAGGATACGAAAATATGAGCAGTCATAGCATTCAGGAAAGTAAAATGTATTTCTAATTTCTCTTTGGTAATTTTTTTCTGTATGTGTGTATGTGTGTATCTGTATAGATACACTGTAACACTGTATCTGTATAGATAGACATATGTATAAGTTTATATGTATATATAAACTTATACAAATCTAATGGCTTTCATCTTTCAGTTTCTGGAGGGTGCCAGTGTATGTGACTGTGATTTATGTCATGTGTATGTTGAGCTCTTTGACCTGGCACTAAAGGAGAATGGTAGATCACTTCATTTCTTTTTCTTTTTTTTTTTTTTTTTTTTTTTTATTTATGATAGTCACACAGAGAGAGAGAGAGAGAGGCAGAGACACAGGCAGAGGGATAAGCAGGCTCCATGCACCGGGAGCCCAACGTGGGATTCGATCCCGGGTCTCCAGGATCGCGCCCTGGGCCAAAGGCAGGCGCCAAACCACTGCGCCACCCAGGGATCCCCACTTCATTTCTTTTTCTTTTTTCTTTTTTTTTTTAAGATTATTTATTTATTTATTCATGAGAAAAACAGAAGAAGAGAGAGGCAGAGACACAGGCAGAGGGAGAAGCAGGTTCCATGCAGGGACCTTACGTGGGACTCAATCCCAGATCTCCAGGATCACGCCCCGGGCTGAAGGCGGCACTAAACCTCTGAGCCACCGGGGCTGCCTGATCACTTCATTTCTGAATAATGGAAGTACCAGTCTTTCTTGTAAAAAAAAATAAAGCTATACAAAAGTTTATAATTATAGAACTTCAGTTTGTACAAAATACTTTAGTACTTGTTTCTGGATTTGCCTTTTAATTAGTAGCTTTGTCTTTTAGGTTGGTATTGCTCCAGGACCATGCGCTATAAATTCCGATGAAGAGAATCATAGACAGATGATTCGTAACTATCAACATCAGCTTTTACAACAAAACAGGTAATTGCTAGGATATAATTTATATATGATACAGAGTGTGACTGCATCTTCCAGAAATCACTATGAATGTTGTTCCTTTTGCATCATGATAATGGCCAATCCTAAATTGCTGTTTGTTGATTTTAATGCATAGACACTTGAGAATATAGGGCATTTTTTCCATCAAGAAAGAATAATGGTTTTTTTATGTTTGTTTTTGGTAGGTTTCATAGACAATCTGTTGAAACAGCCAGGAAACGATTACTTGAATATCAGACAATGTTAAAAGGAAAGTACGTGTTAGCTACTTCATCAATAACTGATTCCCTTATATCAGTATTACCACGGAAACCTGAAAGACCCACTGTTACATCAGAGCATTGGGATCAAGATCAGAGACCCAAGTTGAGTCCTAATAAATATCAACCTATACCATCCTCACAGATCTCCGAATTAGAACCAGATTATTTTCAGTTTCCAAGACAGAGTCTCTTTCCACAAAGACAGGCAGAAACAACAACAGACACATTAATCACTTCAGATGTTTTAGCCAAGCAGCCTTTGGAATCACAGGAACAGCCTAAGCAAAGTACCGTTTCTATAAGTCATTCTGTATTCAGCCAAATGCAGGATAAGTCCCTGCCATCTTCAGAGAGTATTATAGCCCAGCAGGGTAATTTGAAGGCTCTCCAAGAACAGTTAGACCTTCAAAAGGAAGTTCTTCAGTCAAGACTGGAAGCCCAGGAACAATTGCTTTTGTACAAACAGAAAGAACTGGAAGGACAGACTGGCCTCTCTATATCCCTTCCAGTAAGATCTCTGGATTCATTTGCTACACTGCCTTCTGCCAGAGCTGAATCAGGGAGAATCCAGGCATCTTCTCCAAACAGGGGTGATACTGCAGTTCCCGCAGGCCATTTTGGGGTCCCACAACTTCCAGATAGGCTTTTGAGTTTTTCAAAGCCGATCTTATCACAGCAAGATGATTTTACATTTCTCCAAGGACAGTTAAATACTCAGAGGGATAGCCTTCAGGCTAGGCGAGAAGCCCAGGAAGTATTACATGTACATAAACAGAGTGAACTGGGTAGAAGAATAGGGTCTGGACAGACTGAACCCCCTTCTCTCCCTTCTCAGGTAGCTCAGCACCTATTTACTTCACTACCTTCTGCTGGCACTCATTCTGGAAAGATCCAGGAGCAGTATTCATCCGAGAGTGAGAAGGGACTTCTCTCAAGCCAGTCTGAAAACCGAAAATCTCAGGACGGGTCTTTGAGTTTCCTACAGCATTTCCTACCTTTGCATGATAGTTTGAAGTTGCTCCAAGAACAGTTGACTACACAGAGGGATGCTCTTCAGGCTAGGCATGAACCCAAGACAGAATTGCTTTTGCATAGACAAAGGGATTTGGGAAACAGTAAGTCTGGACAGAGGAGTTCGTTATTTTCACCAGTGGTTGCTCAGCGTTTAGTTGCTTCACAAACTCCTGCTAAAACTGAGCCTAGAAGAATTCAGAACTTTTATTTATCTGAAAAGGAGAGTGTTACTCCCTCCAGTCATCCAGTAACCCCGGCATTTCAGAATGTTTCTCATAGTTTTCCACAGCATAACCTGCCACAGCAAGAAAATTTGACACTTCAAGAACAGTCACACATGCAGAGGGTAATGCTTGGTGAACAAGAAACTCAGGAATTTGTACACAAACAACATCAATTAGAAAAAATAATTTCTCCTGAACAGACTGGCACCTCTTTATCCCTGTCCCAGGTAGCTGAGTCTGAAAGATGCCAGGAATTCATGTCAGTCAACAGTGATGGTACAGTTCCCTTAAGCCATTTAAAGATCCTGAGATTTCAGGAAAGACTTCTGGGATTTTCACCACATACTCGACCTCTACAAGATAGCTTGGAGGGACACCAAGAATGGCCAGACAGAGTGAAGGCGGCCCTTCATTTTAGCCAGAACACACAAGGAAATATATCTTTGGAACAAACTGACTCCTCATTCGGACCCCAGTTAGGACAGCCTTCATTTACTTCGTTCCCTTCTGCTGAATCTGGTACAACACAGGAACCTCGTTCAACAGAGAGTGATAATAAAAGCCATCTTCAGATCCCACAGTTGCAGGCTAGGCTTTTGAGGTTATCCCAACTTATCCAGCCTCAACAAGACAATTTGAAGGTGCTTGGAGAAAGGTTAGCTACACAGAGAGAAGCTATCATTCAATCTAGACAGGAAGCTCAGGAGGAATTACTTTTGCACAAACGGAAGGAAGGAATATCTCCTGAGCAGGTTGGCACCTCTTCCTTCCTACCCTCAGTTGTACAGCATTCATTTGCTTCATTACGTCTTAGTGAATCTGGAAGAATCCAAGAACCTTGTTCAACTAAGAGTGATAATACAGCTTCCTCAAGACATTCTGAGATACCAAGATTACCTGATAGAGGTTTATCACAGCCTGTTTTACCTCAAAGAGATTACCTGATTGCACTCCAACAAGAACACTTGGATCCAAAAGGAAATGCCCTTCCGTGTGGCAAGAATACCCAAAAAGAATTGGTTTTGCCCAGCCAATATAAATTTGAGGAAGAGTTACCTTCTGAGCATTTTATCCAACCTCACCATGATGATTTGAAGGTACTTCAACAGCAGTTAGAGATACAGAGGAAAACTATTCGATCTAGACAGGAAGTCCAAGAAGAATTAATTATGCAAAGACTAAGTCAATTGGAGAAAAGGGTATCATCTGAGCCGACTGGCTCTTCATCATTACCCCAGGTAGCACTGCCTGTTGCTGACTCTGAAAGAATCCAAAAGCCTCTTGCAGCCAGAAGTAACAATACTGTTCCCTCGAGTCATCCTGAGACCCCAATATCCCAGGATAGACTTCCGAGTTTATCACAGACTGTTCTGCCTCAGCAAGATATTTTGACAGCACAATTGGATTTGCAGAGGGAAGTGATACAGTCTAATGAGAAGAGTGGGGAAGAACTGCTGTCAGACAGACAAACACAGTTGACTAAAAGTGAATCTTCTGAGCACGCTATTCCCTCTTTGTTTTTACCCATGGAAAGAGACCATTCATTTATTCCACTGCCTTTTGCTGAAGTTAAATCTAAAAACAATTGTGAATTGTATTCATCTAAGAGTGAACATGCAGCTCCCTCAAGCAATTCTGGGATCCCCAAATTTCAAGATAGACTCCTGTGTCTTTCACAACCTGTCTTAACTCAGCAAGATAATATAGAGCTTCAGAAGCAGTTGGATCTACAGAAGAAAGTTCTGCAGTATAGCCAGAAAGCCCAAGAAGAATTGCTTGTACAGAGACAAGCAGCACTACAGCAGCAGATACAGAGACATCAAGAGACTTTGAAAGAGTTCTTTAAATCCAGTCAGGTATGTGTTAAATTTAAATACCTAGGAATTAAATAATGGAGGTAACATGACTCAGACAAACTAGATGTTTGTTTTTTTAATATTGAGACTAAGTGGTTTGACCTTAACTGCTTTAATTTTCTACCTTAAACAATGGAAATTAAAATATAAAAATTGGTCTGCCTTACCTTGTGTTTATAAGGTTAATACTTGCTTGAAGCTCAACTGATTTTGAGCAGTAGTTTGTCATAGCCAAATGCAAACACCATCGAAAACATAGATTGTCAAGGCACCTGGGTGGCTCAGTCCGTGAAGTGTCTTCCTTTGGCTCAAGTCATGATCCCAGGGACCTGGGGTCGAGCCCCAAAATCGGCTCTCTGCTCAGCAGGGTAGCCTGCTTGTGCATACTCACTCTCTCTCTCTCTCTCTCTCTCTCTCTCCTCTCCCTCTCTCTCTCTGTCGAATAAATAAATAAAATCTTAAAAAAAAAACCTCACATAGATTATCATTTGAAGTTTTATTATAAGGGGTTGTGAGCTTACCATACCGTAAAATGAAATTGCAAAATGACTAGTTACCAGAATTTCTATTATGCAAATAGCACATCTTGTGCTTTCTGTTACCACTTGCTTGACGTTTGTATTTGAATCAAAATTAGTCCCATCTTTTTCCTTAAGTAACAGTATCACCCACCTTTTCTGAACAACTGGCATGATTTTAGACTGATGGGCAGTTAGACCTGCTGTTTGTTACTGAATTGATAAGAAGACTCTGGCTCAGTCACATTGACATTCATGGTTTCATTGTACGGGAGAGGCATATATTCTCCTGAATATGAATGTGTCCATTTTATTTTAAAAGGCCCACTTCCTAAATCTCAGATTTAGCCAAAATAAAATTCTGTAAATCCTTTGGCTTTCAAGAGAAGCTTGAGTTGAACTCAGAGAACTTAAGTTCTAGGGATTTCCTGGTCTTTTTATGGAAAAGTAATGGGGAAAGAAAAGCCGGGGGAAACGGGGTGTACCCAAGTTAATGTCTTACCGAAAGATACAGTGGAGGCTAAGTTTTCAAGTTCAATCCCTGTGAAAGGTTATACTTTTCAATGGAAGTATCACTTTCAGTATTAGAAGCATTTCTCATTTTTTAATCTCTAAAGTTGTAATAGTGTGATTGATGGAACTGTTTATTTGGTTGAGGTTCTAATTTAAGAAGAGCAATACACATCTAATGAATTCTTCACATGATCCTTGTCCTATGCCATCCCCACCCTTAATTGTCCACTTTTTCAGATAAGTAAGCCCACAGCCGAAAATGACATAGAAACTCAGAAGCTCAGAGAGTGGCTTCCTCAACTCCAAGACCTAGCAGAAGGTGATCAGGGAAGCATTAGTCCTGCAAGTAGGAGCAACTCTGGTGATAATCAGCTGCTTTCAGGAGAGAGTGGTGCCAAGCAGAGTGGTAAGATAATTGCATACTATTGTAACTATCCTGATTATTTTTTGCTTTCGCCTCCCACAACTTGCTGCCTGAGGAAAAGTTTGTAGTATGTTAACAGATTTGTACTATGCCTAACTTTGTCACTGACTTGATAGGCGAGCTTCTGGACAAAGAACTGGGCAGGAGATCCTCAAAGCCCCCTGTAGCAAAAGTTAAATGTGGATTGGACTTGAACCAACATGAACTTAGTGCTATACCAGAGGTAGAATCACCAGCAAGTGGCAGAACTTCTGTACTAGGTAATATATGGTTTGATAAAACAGGATTTTTTAATAGTTTGTAACTTTTCTACGTTTTTTTCACGATGTTAAATTTTTTTGTCTTGAAGAAACAGGCTGTGAGTATTCAGGAAAGAAAAAAATGGTTTACATGAATAGTATTTAAACTTTGGACTTAAATGTGACATTAGGTAACTAGTTTCTCATAAATAGTGAAAACCTGTTTCCTGTAGACAAAAGTTCTTCAGTATCCTCTGCTTCTGACACTTTTGCTTCCCTCTACTTCCTTTCATATCTGCCTCCTAAACCTGTTTCTTGGGGCACCTGGGTAGCTCAGTAGGTTAAGCATCTGCCTGGAGTCCCGGATCCAGCCCCATGTCAGGCTCTCTGCTCAGCAAGGAGCCTGCTTCTCCTACACTCTCTGTAGGCCGCCTATCTGCCCTCCCCAACCATGTTCACATACACACTCACACACACACACTCACTCTCTCTCTCTCTCTCGCTCTCTAATAAATAAAATATTTACAAATAAACCTGTTTCTTTAGGAGGAACTTTGTATTTTCTTTCCTGCTTTTCAACTTGAATACCTTCACTGCTCTTGTATCTTTTATAGGATGACTATGCTTTAAGGATAGCTATAAGCAGGAATATTTCTTCTCTGTACTTCTCCCTGAATGTAGTTATCTAGGAAAATTCTTCCCTGCGATCTTTAGTAAATATCTCCATTTGAATTTCATAATTATTTTTAGGTTTCAGACTCAAGTAAATCATCAAATTTATCAAAGCAATTTTTTTAAAGAATTTATGTATTTATTCATGAGAGATACAGAGAGAGAGAGAGAGATAGGCAGAGACACAGGCCGGGGGAGAAGCAGGGTCCATGCAGGAGCCCGACGTGGGACTTGATCCCAGGTCTCCAGGATCAGGCCCTGGGCTGAAAGCGGCGCTAAACCATTGAGCCACCTGGACTGCCCCAAAGCAAATTTTTTTAAGGGGGAGAATTAGTTTTGTCACTAGAAAGGTATCTAGAAGTGTATTATTAACAGCTGCTTTGGTCTTACGCCATAAAATATTGTGCCTTTGTTTCTGACTGAAAAAATTAAGAAACGTAGATTCAGAGTAACTCTTAAGAATCAGTCCCCTTTCTTATGGAGGTTATAATAATTTTATTTATTACTCAGCTTTGATAGCTTTTCTCCTATTTTGCATTTTTTGGCAAACCACAGCTGTAGGGGAATTAGTCCTTTCCCTGCTTTAGAATATGCGTTGGGAAATTCTCAGCATTGATTCCTATGATTTATTGAATCATGTTTGAGATTGCAAAAATGTCATCTTGTCTAAAAGGAAAAGCTATATATTCGCTCACCACCACCACTTTATCCTTGAGCCTTTTTTCAGGGACAAGCAATTACATGTAAATCTTGACATTCCCCTTGTCTTTCTCTCTCTGACACCCCATAAAAATCACCAATTCTTAGTTCTCCTTGTACAGTTCTGGCATCTGTCTGCTTGTTGCCACTCCTACTCATTAATGCAGGCTATCATTTCTCTCTCGGGTGGCTACTATAGCTTCCCAAGTCTTCCTGCTTCTAGTCTAGCTGTACTCTAATTTCTCCATGGTACATTCAGAGTAATCTCCTTAATCTCCTTTGCATCTCCCTGTTTGAGACTCTTCATTGGTCTTCTCTTTGATTCGAGGAATAAGTCTGCATTTAGTCTCAGTCTCCAGCTTCACCTTCCAGGCCTTTCATGATCTTAAGAGCGAGGTTCAGTGTCCCTTTTCTGGTGAACGTGGCCTGAATGATCAAGTGTCCCTCTCATGAGCCTTTGGAGCTTTTATCCTAGCCCTTATCACAAGTTGAGTAAAACTTTTAGTCAAAATATTACAGGCAAGTAGTTTTAAAAGACAAACAGTGCTAAAAGGTTATTCCTGCCCCTCCCCACCCATTACCCCTGCACCTTACCAGCCACTTTTCAGTCTTTTATGTGTTTCTTATATTTACCTTAGTGCTTGGCAATGAGTTTTAAAAAATCAAGTTAAATTACCCTCGTGCTAATGTGTAATTATTTTTCACTGCTGAAAAAAATTAGTGTACTATAATACTCTTTCTGTTTTGTAAAGCTTCTTTTCTATAGTAAATTCTCTCCTTTTTTTATTAGCTTAAAGTTTCTGTTGGATGTTTTCTCACACTAATACTTCTATCACATACCTCTAATAGAAGGTGAGATCACAACAGTTTCTCTGAAACATCTTCCCGTTAAAATTGGGGGACCTATGTCAGTTCTTGGGGAGGTGAAAAAGTCTTTATTTACATATTAAAGCACAGGTATACATAAAAAGATAAACAGTATATCTGTGGTTATTAAAGTTTCATAGAGGTAGGAGGCATTTAGACCAAAAATAATGGCTACAGACTCCTTAGGCAGCTGATGATAAAGCCATGTTGAAAGGCACTGATCTGTGGCTGGGTGGAGCCTGGTGGCCCAGTCAGTTAAAGCATCTGCCTTCAGCTCAGGTCATGATCCCAGGGTGCTGGGGTGGAGCTCCTTGTTGGGCTCCCTGCTCAGTGGAGAGTCTGCTTCTTGTTCTCCCTCTGCCCCTCCCCCTGCTCATTTTCTCTCCTCTCTCTCAAATAAATAAAATCTTAAAAAAAAAAAAAAAGACACGGATCTATATTGATTCTCCGATTTTCTTCTCTAGTTTCTTTTGTTTTTGGTTTTTATTCTGGAAGAATTTCCTCAACTTTTTTCAAGTTACGCATTTTCAATTTGACTATCAAATTGTGTTTTCTAAAAGCTTACTCTTTTCCTGTTTTGGGATTTTTTTTTTTTCTTTTTCATAGCATCCTGCTGTTGTCTCACAGATACAACATATTACCTACCCTGAATATATATATTTTTTGTTTGGGTTCCTATATTTCTCCATTTGTCTGAATTCTTTTGTTCCTTTTTTGTTTCCCATTTTTAAGGAGCATTTCTCTGATGTCTTGCATATTTGAGTGGGATGCTAAAGGTGAATTAGAAATTCTGTAAGGGGCGGGGCCTGTTTCCTGCTGAATTTCATTAGGAAAGGGGGTTTCTCATTGGGTACCCTCCATTTAGTATCTGGGATTCTTTTCCTTGAGTCAGTTCACAGTTTAGTTTCTTTAAGAAAAGATCCTCCCAAGCTTGATCCAAGTCTGGCTGTTGCTATGTTGAGGTGCAGACTTGAGAACCCCTGATTTCCTTATGGCATTTTCACTTTCTCCCACCCTTACTTCCTTTCAGTTCCAAGCCCCCAATTTTCAGAGTGTATTAGGTTCCATTTCTCCAGAGAATAAATAAACCTTTAGTATCCTGTAGGGATGATGTTGAGGGACAGGGACCTTTGGAGATGGGATGGATGTGTTCCACGTACATATTTCTAAACATTCTCCCTGTTTTCAATTCCCTGTTGTGCACTTTCCTTATGTAATACCTGGTATTTGAATTGCCAAGTTTTTCTGCACAGTAGATTAGCTTCTACTTTGGGGTATCTTCCACTCTCCTGTTTCCTTACTTGTTATTATTTTTGTATCAAAGTATACCATTCAGAGAGGTGTACAAATCCTAAGTGTTCTATTTCAGTGATTACCACTATAATAGCCATCCCCATGTTGCCACCACTCGGGTCAAGAACTAAAACCTTAGAGAACTCCACAGACATGTCCTCCTAATTCCTGTCTCTCCATTCTCTCAGGATAAACCTCTACCTTGATTTCTTATACCACAGATTAGCTCTGGCTATTTTTTACTTTATTGTGTGAACACATTATACCTTACAGTACTATTAATGGTTAGTGACTTCTCCAGGCATTTTTTTCCAGTGCTTGGTCAATACTGAAGTATTATTTGGTGTTGGAAGTGGGACTATCATTAAAAAGTTAGTAAAATCAAAATGAAATAATTTAAAGGCCTGAGTGAAAGATAAGTGGTTATTATTTTTCTTGCTACATAGATTTTTACCTGTGATCTAAATTGCTATTTTCATTTGAACTAACTCTAGAAACATAAGTGAAAATCTAATGAGTCCATCTTTTCTTCCTCCCAGGTAAACCAGATTTTTATCAAGACAGGGACCCCCTAAGGGTCTCAATAAGCCGAGAACAAAGTTTCTTTGGCAGCGCACTGGACTGTGATGCATTTGGTTGTCTTTACCCAATTGCCCAGGAGAACATCTGTGGTGATGACCCCAGTGAAGCAGGTGAGAGAAATAGGAAGTAGATTTGCTGTGTGCAAGGAGATGTAGACAAAAGATATTTATTATAGTGTAATTTGTAATAAGAAATGGTGAATAATCTTTAAAATATTCTGTGGCATTCTAAATGGCATGCTTTGTGTTTAAAATATTTGGAAAAGAGTTATAAGGGAAAAAATGTTAAATCACTTAATCCTGCCTCCCAAGCACAACCAGTATTAATTTTTTAATCTCTTTGAATTTCTGCATGTGTAAAACTGTTTTTTATGTGTAATATTGCTTACCCTACAAAGCGTAGTTCTAGTTCATACTGCTGCATTAGTTCCAAGGTATCTTAAGTAGTTATCTTTTCTAACCAGAGTTTATTTTAGCTGTCACTATAGTTCAATAGAATGAGAGATGAGAGAGCCAACATTTTAAAATAAAACTGTTAACTTTCTTTTAGATTTAGCCAATGAATACCTTTATTTCCTTTTTACTCTACCTGTCGTTGTCTACTAGCTAAAGGGGATAGGAACATACCTATAGTTGAACAAAGCTGAGTGTTCTGACTTGTTGCAGTGAGGTAGAATGCTTGGGACAGGGAGCTCTGAAGTGTCTTGGTACAGGTATTAGAAGATTTGGGCTTGTATTAGGTGATTTGGGGGAGGCTTCGAGGAGGTGGGGCATTGCTTATGAGTAATGGAACAGGGGCAGTTCCATTACTGGAATTATCCAGGAGGTAGGAATAACGGAGTGAACTTTATGAAAGCTATAACTGGTAAAGAAGCAGCCATTACTCTTACCAAAAAAGGCAAGAAAAACACCAAAGTGCAATAAGTGGTTGGTTATGAATGGTAGGAAAAGAAGGAATCTTCCTTCTTTCTAACTTTTGGTGCTTTCTGAAATCCTAATGAGTACATACTGCTTTTATTATAAATTATCATTCTTTGGGTGCCTGGGTGGTCCAGTCAGTTAAGCATTCAACTCTTGGGGCAGCCCAGGTGGCTCAGCGGTTTAGCACCGCCTTCAGCCCAGGGCGTGATCCTGGAGTCCCAGGATCGAGTCCCACGTCAGGCTCCCTACATGGAGCCTGCTTCTCCCTCTGCCTGTATCTCTGCCTCTCTCTCTTAACCTCTCTCTGTGTGTGTGTGTGTGTTTGTCTCTCATGAATAAATAAATAAAATCTTTTAAAAAAATAATATAAAAAAAAATAAAGCGTTCAACTCTTGGTTTGGGCTCAGGTCATGATTTTGGGGTCATGGGATCAAGCCCTGCATTGTACTCCCTGCTTAGCACAGAATCTGCTTGGAATTCTCTCTCACTTTCTCTTTCTCTCAAATAAATAATCTTTTTTGAAAATTATTATCCTTAATTATATTTGACATATTAAAAATATATAAATATTAAACTTTCTGTCTCAGTTCAGGCCAGGATAAGGAGATGCTTGGTCATTTTTGTGATAATACTCATCGTTTTGTCTATAATCAGACATGAGTACTGGTAGCCTGATTTCCATCTTGATCCATTATGGTCATAAAATAACCTTTTAGGTATTGGTATTCTGTGAAATTTTCATGTTTAATGGGAGAACACCAAGGACAGGTCAGCTCCTAGCTCTCAGGCTGCTTTTCTCTTTCTTATAATCATCCCTACATTCATATTATCTCTGTATTTAAAAGGAGGGTATCAGCTTTGTTACTTCTCTGTTCCCTTCCTTCCTCCTTATTCAGGTCCTCCTTACCTCACCTTGATTTCTTAGTAGCTTTATAAAGGTGGTATCACTAAATTCAAGCTCTGTACCCTTTGCTTTTGTAAGAAGGCAGGAAATGGTGCTTTGCTTCTGAAGGAAAGCAGAAAATTCTTGAATATCATAGGAAGGTGGCTGTTCAAGGCTTTGCTTTCATGACACTGCTTCCCTTTTTCAGTAATCTCATACCGGTGATACTTGTTTCTCTTTCAGCAACCTCTGCACTGAATTCTGCAACGTTTTAAATAACTCTGACCTTATTCCTTTCTCATTTTTATTTTTCACCTCTTACTCTACCCAAATCCTCCCCCTGGGAGGGTATCTGTTACAGATAACAGTATAGTTATGATTATGCATTGATAAACCCCAGATTAGCTTCTTATCTCCCAACTAGCTTTTGGAATGAACTGCCTAATAAAAAATAACTACTGTAAAATTGCACCTTATCTTAGTTTCTTTACTGAAAATTTTAGCATGTATAGAAGAAACCAAGTAACAGTTTATTGGTTATATCAGCTCAGAATAATATATTTTTAATGAAAAAGAAGATAGTAAAAAAAAAGTGTTTAAAAACAAGTTGTACTTATTATAATATTCAGTATTACTTTTATTTCTGCCTCATTATCCATAATATAGAAATTATTTTATAAATACAGGTACATGATGTGTGTGTCCTGGGCTATCTTTGAAAAAAACATTTCTTACAAAAACATTTAAAAAACATACTTCTAATGTGTGTGATATCTCTTAATAAAGTCATGGTGATAATGAGACACATGTTTTTAGTTTATATGTTTGGTGGCACAGTTTTAATTTTATTCTGTCTCAGAGCCACAGATAACTATACACTTTGACCAGCTTTCTCTCATAAATGTTGGCTCTTGGAGTAAGGGAAAAATTAACTCAGATACCTGAATTATTATTAAGTGAGACAAAATAATTTTTATATATTGTGGTTTTTGGTCTTTTTTTATATGCATTTTACTCAACTTTGAGATCACATTGTATTAGTAGAATATTCTTGCTTCACTTAATAGCAAAAGCATTTCCCATCACACTGGTAATTTTCTATTTGTAGAGTAATAAGTACAGTTTTTCCAGGGAAAAGCATATTGTGCTGACTAGGACATTTTAATGAATAATAAAATGAATGTTTTTGTTTCTTTTTTGATCTAGGATAAGGCAATTCTACAAAGCAAAATATGAAAGAAAATAGAAATGATACCCTCTGGTGCTAGGAATTTGACTTGTAATAATCTAAACTCTTCTCCTCTCCCTCCAATTTCAGTCAAGGTCAAGGAGACTGTGGCTGAGAATCATGCTGTATTAAGTTATGCTGTAGAGGAAGAACATACATATCTGAGTCCACCTGTGAAGCCAGATAATGTTAGTAGTGTCTTAATGTGTACTCCGTGGTTAGAGCTGTTTGGTTTCATGTTTTAGTTTATAGAAGTTGTGAAATATTGAAGTCTGTGTTCTCTGAGATCTGCTCTTACTGAAGTGGATCAATGATGAAAATAGCCAAATCTGAGCATCAGAAGACCTTCCAGTCTACCTGATGCATGATCTCTCTAGTTCTGAGAAGCAAAAGTAATTTAGAACAATAAGGGCTTATGTCCGGAGGTGTGTATGTGTGTACGTGCATGCGTGTGTGTGTGTGTGTGTGTGTGTGTGTTTAAAGGTGACCGTGTATAACTGAGGACTTGATGAATGAGATTGGGGGGTGGGGAGGGAATCTGTGTGTAGATTTCTGAGCAATGATGAAAAGGTTTTACTACTGATCTTTACAACTATGAAGGTTTCTACACTTGATCTGAGCTCAGAGTTAATCATTACTAACGTCGCTGATTTGGGTTTTTTCTAGCTATTACTTTCTACATTGTGGTGTAACGTTCCTCTTCATTTTTAGGCTGAAACAGAAGAGATTTATCATGAGCCATTATTGTCAATAACTATTTCTACTGGAAGCTTTTTAAGTTATGAGAACACAGATCTGAGCCTTACAGATCCAGGTAATAACATCAGCATGCTTGTAAATAAATTGAAAGGCCAGCATCAGCTGAGGTCAATACAGTGGTGAGCAAACACTGAGAGCTTGTCACAGTATGCTGAAAAATTGTTTCTTTAAATCTCAGAAATAAATTGTTCATGCCTGAGAGAATAGTGGACAGTATGATACTCCGCAAACATGACTGCACGTCACAGGCCTGTAGACCCACAGAGATGCTCTGTGGATTTCCAGCAACATTTTGAAAATTATCTGCTATTGTCACCCTTTTCCCATTCAGTGGGAATCTTTCTGAGCAGATTTCTTAGTTCCTCTGATCCCTCGTCAGTGTATCTTGGCTCTGCCTCTCTGCCAAAGTGTGTCTCTAAGGAACCTTGTGCCCAGCCATTAAGTATTTTCATTAAACTGAATTTTCAGGGTCATTTTCAGAGCATGTGGACCACAGGGAACAAGAATCTGCCACTGGTAAAGAAAAGGAAACCAATATTTTAAGTTCTGTAGTTCCCTCATCACAAGTTATTTATCAACGGCAGGACTCTGGGGAAGTTCATCAACCTGTGCTGCCTGCATTGGAAAAATTTACATCTGGTAAGACACACATGCAGCAGATGATGGACAAGCACATAAATGAAGCAAATTTGATGACTGAAAAAACAGACCTGTGGGCTAAAATTATTTTGAACAGTACTTTTGTATAACTTTCCATCCTTTTAGTTCTAAAGAGTGTTTGAGCTTCGTGTTTTTATGGACTGCTGCAGCAATTATGACATAGAAAGTGGAAGACAGTTGAGGGCATTTGTGAGAGAGGGGATCTGGAACCAATTAGACTGAAGAACCTGTAGAAGAGATGAGAAAAATCTTCCTCTACCAGTGCAAACTTAACTCTGACAACCAAGGCAGTATTGCCAATAGAGAATAAGAGTTCACAGATCAGACCTTGAGGCTCTAGTTTGATCATTGATTATCTGTGAGACCATGGACCATGGGCAGGTTACTTACTCCATCTTCTGTTAAAAGGGGGATGTTGGAGATTAAATGAGATAATACACATGAAGCACAATTCCTGGCTTATTATAACATCCTATACAGTGAACTTTTCTTCTTTTATTCTCCTCTGAAATCATTGATCCTAAAATGAAATAAGTAAGAATAACAAAGCTTATAGCAAAGCAGTGATCATATGGCTTCTTCTAATTAACCTCATAAGACTTTGGAGCTAGTAAAAATGGAAACTTTGTCAAAGGTTTTGGTCACTGAGAGCAGCCTCATTTTTTGTATGTGGGGGTAATGATAGGACTTAATTGAAAGGATCTGCTGGCAGTAAAAATATAGAAGTAATTTTGTTAAATTGCAGTTACCTAAAATTAAATTTTTTCTTTTTTTCTCAAAATTACAACAGTTGACCTTGACTTTCCAGAATTGGAACACACTTTTCCAAATTTGCATCGTCAGCTATTTAAACCCTTAGAACCACATCCAGATTTTGACATATCATCATCATACTCTGGGATTTCTCAAGACAGCAGAGACTTTTACCAGGTATATTAACGTAGGTGCTTCATTGCTGTGAATTTCCAAAAATACTTTATCTTTCCTTCTGTTAGAACAGAACAATGGTTCTTAACCTTAGCTGCTGATTAGAATCATGTGGAAAGCTTTTAAAACTCCAAATGTCCAGGCTGTGCCCAGGCTGTACCCAGGCCAGTTAAATCAGAGTCTCGGGCAGCCCGAGAAGGTTTAGCACCGCCTTCAGCCCAGGGTGTGATGCTGGAGACCCAAGATCGAGTCCCACGTTGGGCTCCCTGCATGGAGCTTGCTTCTCCCTCTGCCTGTGTCTCTGCCCCTCCCTCTCTCTGTCTCTAACGAATAAATAAATAAAATCTTAAAAAAAAAAATCAAAGTCTCTAGGAGTGCCTAGGTTATCAGGAATTTTTTTTAAGCTCCCCAAGCAATTCTAATGTGGAGCCAAGATTGAAAACCAGCTGTACTAGAATTTTATCCTGTAAGCCGTATCTCCAGCAGCTTACAGGCTCATTGTATCTCCGTATACAAGGAGTATAATCCATAAAAGGCTTGAGAACATTTTTATTATTATTAATTTTATGAAATTTAAAGCCTCTTCCTGTATCAGACAGCTGATATTCAAACCTGGGTCTTTCTGCTTCCGTAGCCTAACATCTCAGGCTGTCGTACTTAATAGTTCCTGCTTTTCAAAAATGATCTCCTCATATTTTAAACTATCTGATTAATTTGCAGTTTGTTTTCTAAATAATCTTTAATTTTTAAAATTTATCTATATCTATATATTTTTAAAGATTTGAGAGAGAGCAGGAGCCCAAGGGAAGGGGCAGAGGAAAAGGCAGATTGCTTGCTGAGCATTGAGTCTGATGCCTCGATCCCAGGACCCCAGGATCATGACCTGAGCTGAAGGCACTTAACCAAATGAGCCACCCACACCCCTAAATAATTTTTTTGTGTCTTTCATATTAACTGAAATGGAATAATTGGGTTTAAATAGCAAATTATTGTCAAAGTTATGTGGTTATTAAGGTATCATAGGAACAGGATTATTGACTCAATTGATAATACATAATCCATATTCTCTATTGTTTTTCCGTCAGAACTCAGATTCTTCATGTGAAAGCCACCGTGCTGTTCTATCATCCAAAAGTACTGTTTCCTTTACAGCACTGAGGAGAACCAGCCTAAATTCTTCTAATATAAGCTTGAACCAGCAGCCTGATCCTCACTTGGCTCATGCTGCAGCTCAGATTTTTGCTACAGAAAATACTGAGGGTATGATTAAGTTTATAATCTATTTTCCTTGGAAATTGTGCCTAGCAGCTCCTGGTGTGTCTCTGCTCCTGTCCTCACCCATCTCCAGTGTTATAACTTCTGTTTGTGTATTCATCTCAATAACAGAAATAATAATGCTGTTTGCATCTTACAGTTCTGAACTTGATAAAATAAAAAGTGCTGCCTCTTGTTACTCAACTTCCTTACCTCAACCCTTATGGTTAAGTTTTAAGTATCCTTCTAAAACTTCTTGTACCAATTTTATATATACACACATATATGTACATATTTTTTGAAACATGTACATTTTAGTTTAAGTTCTATTATTAAAATCAAAATTCTTAGGGAAGAATCCTCATCATATCTAATAACCATATTTTCTTTATTAGACTAGAAGATACATGGTGGGAGCGGTAGTTATTTGAAAAATCACTATGACCATCCTCTTAGTTTTTTATTCATGTATACATACATCAGCTTTCACTCCTCAAATTGTAGGAAGTAATCTTATTTCATTACTTGCAATTTAGTCAACTATCAGAGATTGTATCTGTATCCAGATTTCACATCCTGTAATTATGATTATTTCTTGCAGGATCTGAACAATCTTTTCAACAGCTTCTGCCAGAATTTTCCTCACAGGAGGGGAGTCAGCATGCTGATCTACCAGTTATTTTTAGCATTGAAGCAAGAGATTCTTCCCAAGGCATGGAAAATCACTACTCTGAAATAATGCAAAATAAGAAAAAAAGTGTTCATTTCCAGCCTTCTGTAGGAAATGTGCAGAATTCAGTCTTCAGTTCCTCTGATGAAGTTAATGTATTTCTTCCCTTAAGTCAACAGCATAGCACTCCATGTGGGTCTACCTCTAGTGAGTGCTCAATAAAAACCCAACCAGAAGGCAGAAAAGAAAGACTGGGTTTTGAAGAACTATCAGAAAGAGGGATTGATACAATGTTAGAAAGTCAGGGATTCAGTGGAAACAAAAATGAAACCCATGAGGTTTTAAATATAAAATCACATGTGGAAGAAATTGATTCTCCCTACAGAACAGTGGAGATGGGAACTTCAGTCCAGGCACCATATTCTATTCAGAATGAAAAATATTTTGAGAACTCAACTAAGGCAGAAACTCCAAAAATCAAAAATCTTTCTCAAGTAGCACAATCAGAGCTTGCTTTAAGTTCTGGATCATTACAGAGCTCTATTCCAGTGTGGGTAAGTGAAATCTGTTGTATGTAAATAAATTCATTTCCAGGAAAGACTTTTGAAACAAAATTCAAGGGAAGCAATAAAGCAACTTGTTAACACTCCTGAGACAGTCACTCTTGTAACCATTGGAAATCTCCAACAAAAGGTCTGCTCCCAGTTGACACATCCATCTTCAAGCAGCTTGGCCTGTGCTTCAGCCTCTTTGCACTGCATTGTATTAATGTGCTTGGTTTCAACTAGTCGCCTGAATATGCTTTTTACCTTCTAGTATTGTTTGCCCTTCCACAGATAAACAGAGGATAGAAATTATATTGAGACCAACAAGAGTGACCTCTAGGCCACAGAGGTGCCCTTTTTGCAGTTTTTGTTCAGTAATTAAATTCCCTCTAAAAATTTAGTTTTGCAGCAGTGGCCTCTGTGTGGCTGCAGCCCACCAGCTACTGCTCTCATTAGATAGGTTACCCTCACAGGTTCTGCAGAGCCCCACCAATCTGCATTTGTAGTATCTGCATAGCCCTACAGTAAGCATTTGGGCTTATAAGAGTTATTCATACAATTAATCATTGTACCTATCCCCAAAGTCTTAATTATTTCTAAAAGGGGGGTGGGGGAGGCACCACCTTTGTCTTCACAGAGACCTTCCTCTGTAACCTGTATTTTTTCATTTCTAATGTCTTAAGGCAGTTTTTGGATACAGTTTCCTTTTGAATTTTATTGCACAGGAGACAGAGTCTGGCCATGGTATAATGGAAGAACCAGAGCTTACATTAGTAAGCACCAGTGATATCAGTATTGCTGAAATGGATTTTGCAAACTTAACCCTTGAAGAAAAGGAAGGAAATGAGACAAAAAGCAATTCTCAGGTAAATTTTATAGCCCCTTTTAATATGAACACACCTCATTTATACAGCAACCTATAGCTGAGAATAAGGAAACAAGTTTTTTCCACATGGCATTTTTTACATTCTTGCTTGCAGACAGTATCTTTCCCTTATTAGGTGCAAATGCAATCAACTACAAAGTGAACAGGAAAAGGGACAGGCTCTTAAACTGCCCAATAGCACTGTTCTGTGCCACTTAATAATAGTCCTAAAGACATTTATCTTACGATGCTATAGACCACATCTCATTAGAACTTGGAAGGGTTGGGACTCATGAATGAATGGATTCAATAAAAGATGAATTTGTTCCAAAAATGTTCTAAGGCTGCAGAGCTCTGGAAGATAGGTTAAGGACCAGAGGGAGATACAGAAGGAGTGCTATCACCTGAAAAATTGAGGATGTTATTTTAAGTTATAAAGCTTTCTAACACTAAAATAGTTAAGTTCTATTAGATGCAGGTTCCTTATACTTTTTCCACTGTAAGCAAACCATTCCTGGCAGGCTCACCTCATTTCTTAGAAGGTAGTCCTTGAAAGGAATTCTCCAGGAAACTGAATTCTAATTAGTAAGGATTCTGAATTCACTGATTACAGACCTGCAGCTGGAAACTAAAAAAGTTCAAGTCATCACCTATTTGTCTATTAATTTTCCCTCTTACAGAGAAGTCCCTGTGGCAGGACTTGATGCTGGATTAGAAGAGAATTCACACCTAGTACTTATTTCCAGGATCACTAAGTAGAGCAGAATGAAGAACTAGACAGGAATCGGGGATGAATAGCTTTTGGCTAGAGTAGGCTGCTCAGGTAAAGCATCTTAATAATAAAGCCATTTATTAAAAACTTTGCCAGAAAACTCAGTTCTGCAGTTTAGATATAAGAAACCGCACAAACCAGTGAAGGCAGTAGAATAGGAGCTAAATAAAGTCTGTTGGACATGGGATTAAGAGTAGGCACTCATCTACCTCCCCCTAAGACCTCATCTTTGTCTACCAAAGGGAACCAGGGGTTTGAAACTATTAAAAGGTCTAGAACATATGCTTGTGATTCTGTTCAATGAGGCGAACAGTGCTAAATTCATCTACAACTTTTTTGCAATTAGGTGAGTACAGCAACCTCAGATTACCCAGATTTATCAGAACACCATGTGGAGGAGCCAGTAATCCTGTGTGCAGGTATGCCTTAGGGGGTCTGAGATGCTTAGTGTTAACAGAGGGGCCAGCGGGAGTTCCCTATTCAGTTCCAGTGTCCACATTGCCCACAATCTTTTTTTTTAAAACAGAAACCCCTCCAATCATCACAGCTCTTCCTGGGAGCTTACAAGAAGCATTTTTAAAGAGGAAAAAGCCATTTTTGGAGAGATCCTCCCAGAGACAGAAAGAAATAAAGAATAAATTTCGTGTTTCTGAAAATTCTCAAATCAAAATAGTTAAGGAGAAACCTATAGGTATGTTCCACACCACCTGCATCAGTTCTCACAAGAGAATGTAGCATTGCAATATTGCAATGTTTGCCAAGTCCCTTGTTCTCTGCTCAGGCTCAGCTGTGAGTCGCCTGAAGGGTGTGAATAAGATGAAGGTTAGAGTGTCACTTCCTGAAGACAGAAAGACTGCACAAGCCCTCATGCATCAAAGAGCCCTAAGGTAGAGGTGTGTGTATGTGTGTATGAATAGTAATTTACATTCCTAAGGTGTGCGTCCTAAATTGTGTGAACTTTTTACAGATTATACAGTCAGTTAGCTGAAGTCAAACAGCAAAGGGAAGAGAAAGCAAAGCAAGATGCATATGCCCAAAACAGAGCAAGGGCAAAAGAATTTCATAAGGTGAGCTAGGTTCTCTACAGGTTATTTTTCCACGTCTAGGGTATACTGTTAACTGCATTTTATTTTTGTTCCTCTACAGAAAACACTAGAGAGACTTCGAGCCAAAAATACGTGCTGACTTTTTACTAAAGGTGTAAAGTTCTACTAAAGGTGTAAAGTTTTTTTTTTTTAAATTATGTATGGCATAGGCAAAATTATTTAAAATTAATAAATTTTTATTTAAGATATTTTTATTTAAGATATTTGACATGTGATTCCTTCTGCCGCCAATCACCATAGTTCCACCAAAGCCAGAGTGATGATCTTCAACCAAAATAGCACTGAGGACGAAAGTAGACACTGGTTAAGGGAGTCATTTCTTAATTCCACTTGACTAGTCATAGAAGCAACTAAATCCTGTATCTCCTCAGGAAAAAACATAGCACTATTGAGTAACTATTACATCCTATGGAGAACTCCAATATTTGGTCACAGCGTTAAGAGCTCTTGGTTTTAGTCCCACAAGCCCTCTTTGAAATGACCTACTAGTTATTTTTTCAAATGTGCACATACCTTTTAAAACAAACTTTTGTTCAATCCACAGCCGTCACTGTCCTACGTAACAGAAACATGCATGATTGTTAACAACAGAAGGATTAAGCAAAAGACATCTGCAAGAGTAGAGATCTAGGCATGCACTGTTCAATAAAATAGCCATGTAGTCAGATGAGAATTTGAAATATAGCTACTACCAAATCACATTATGGCCTGTGTTAATTTATACTGGACAGTGCTGATCTAGGCAGTGGAAACAGAATGGGGTTGATAAAAATGTTCCCAATAGGCTGAATGCTAGCAAACTAGCAAAAAAGGAAGAAAACCTAATGGGAAAATTTTTTTATGGTCATGTCCACAGCAAATGAGAAACTGCATTCTCAAAGCCTTGGTAATGACCATTATATGGTTAAAATACAGAATAAACTTGCCAGAGGTCTTCTTGGATCTCCACTTGAATATGGACATACTTCAAAAACTCCCCACTATGGAAGATTTTAAAGTTTAAATTTTTCAAAATGCAGTTAATTACATACAGGTTCCAAAGTATCCCAAAACTCAGTTCTGTACTAGTTATGGGCTGAAAATTCCACACTAAAAATTACAGTTGGAATAATTGTTTAATTCAGTTCATTTAAATGTTGGAACAAATTAAGGCTATATCTACATCTGCATTCATACCCTGACACGAAACGCCCTGTAATAATTAACACCAAAAGTAGCTATTCATGGTTCAGTTAACTTTTACATTTAGATGGATGTTCAGAAAGGCTACTTTCATTCAGCCCATTCAGAGCAGTTGAACATTTTGCCTGTCATCATAACATCACAAATCACTGGTAACCATATAAACACTCACTGTGTCCTTTTAATAACATCTAGGTTTTTTTTTTTAAAGTGGTGAGATAATGAACCACTAGAATTAGCTGCTGCAAAATTAAGTAAATAAATGGATTCCATCTCCTATAACAAAGGGCTTTTGAAGGGAAATCTCACCTGTAATCTTTGAGGTCCAATTTCTTTAGAGCCCTAGAAAATTGCAGACGTACAGATTGCTATTTTGGCAAATGACCTAAAATACTGAAAGGTCTCACTTCTACTCTGTCCCATGAGCCTAACAAAATGTTACAGGCCTCATTGTCACCACAGCAATAAACTTGCTATGATGGAAGCATAACCTGTGTCTCAATGTAGCCACATTAACAATTTCTGGACACCATGAAGGACCGTGCCCATTTCCATCTAGAATGAGGCTTTATAAAAATTCTCAAGCTTATAATCTATACAAAGGCTTCTACATCTTTATAGAAGTCCTGCTGTTTTCCCAACCAAAAGAAAGCAGCCACTAGAAGCAAGAGATAGAAAGCCTTACCCATTTAGGGTCTAAATAGATAAATGATCTTCCTGGTTCTCAAACATCCTAGAAAAAGAGAAGCATTAGTTCCTCTTAAGAGTACCTCAAAACTGAACATAATGAAAAACTATAGGAATACTGTTTCAATAAAAATACCAGGTTTAACATGCACAAAGCCAAGAAAACCAACGATGCCAGATACTGAATTTCTATTGCACTGTCTTTTGAACACCCAGCAGGACCTGAGCTGCTAAGTGCAGATACCATGCAGTGCAATCCTGACTAGACTGTAAACCCCTCTACCTCAAGACCGCAATGCTACTACCTGAGAAACTTCAAGAAACTTTAGTTCTTATAAAGTATTTTGACCTTTATTCCTTTTTTTGACCTTTGTTCCTAATTATCATTCCATCTTATGTGCATCTTAATTTGTAAACCTAGTTCCTGTTATCTTTCCTATCTTTATATAACGTACATACAGAACTATTAAGTCAAATCACTAGAAGAAATCATGCATTAGAAATCAGGATCACAGTTGCTCAGATTGCTATTAGGCAAAATAAGAAAATCCAATATATCCCTATTTGCAATGTATCCAGATATTCATTATTAGGATGAACCACAAAACTTGTTTAATAAAGATTCAAAGAGAGGGGCATTTTCATGTTATTCTCTATACATAAGCAGTCTCTTCAGTTTGCCCAATTCTGTAGAAGATCTAGATACTTCTGTTGCATATCAAATTAACTCCTGCGTAACACTAGACTATGCTGTACTCACAACTTGTTATTTTTTCAGAACTTTTGGATCCTTAATAAACTTCAACAGAAAAAAAAATTTCAACAGAAATTATACGTTCCACCTACCTCTAAACATGAATGAGTTCAAATCGTATTCACCCCTACAGATAACATACCAAATAAAAGATTAAAGACAATTTAAGTTTGATTAAAATCTAAAAATGTTAGTATCCAAATTATTTTTTTTAGCTATAATCAGCTCTATCAGAATTAAGTTTTAGTTCATGTCTGTATCATTCAGCAGTTGAACAGTTAAATTCATCATGTGAACTGTGATGGTACCCCAAAGATTACACTGTCCCCAATGAAAACTTACCTAAACTATCACACCCTAGAACTGTACAGATTGTTGGGATACGCCAATACCTAAGATTTAAAAGATGTGATTAGGTCTTTCACAGAGTTTTAGCCGATAGATGTCTTGTAGTTCTTTCCCACAGATCTAACATATAGTTCTGTGAATAAAGGAAACCACACATATACTCTATGAGGCGTTTCCAACGATGTAGGTCTACAGAAAAAGCCCCATCGGGATAGACCTCAAACCCTTTACATTTTTTAAAGATTCTACTACAAAAATAACTGTGATCTGCTCTGAGTTCGAAATTGTGCAAAAAGCCAAACACCATCCACTGATGACAAATTTAAAGAAATCATTCCATAAAAAATTACATAAGGATTTTTTTAAATGTTTACGGAAAGGAGTCTGAGTCTGTACTGAGATGAAAACCAAGTACTAAAAAAAAAAAGAAAACCAAGTACTAAAGGTGAAGTACCAAGTAGTTACTAAAGAGAACCAGCAAAGGAAAAAGATTCTTAAAGTCTTGATTTTGCAAACTCTACTATCACCATGTTTTGTCTAGAACATTCCAGATTCTACCAATTTAATTTTCTGCCTCATCTGAGAGCTAGTTATTTGATATCATTTATTAAAAATACAGGAAAATATTAATGTGGCTGTATTTATGTTTTTCCCATTTAGGAAGTTATTGGAAGATAAATTGAGTGCTTTCTAATTAATCTTTGCATCATTCAGATTTAGGAAATCTTGTGTCCTCTATCATTTCTAACATCACACTATTAAATCCTACACTTCATTTTAGATGATGCATTAGTTTTATTTTATTTTTTTGATGCATTAGTTTTAAAATAAAGTAAATGCATAAAACAGGTATCCAGTATTCTGATTTTTATAAACTTAGTTCATAAACACCTTTTCCTGCAAGTAAACTGAAGCTTGCACTTATCACTGTAAAATGTGTGAACCCTAAAATTCATTTTTCTGAAATCATGTTATAAACAGAAATTTAAAACTGGGAAAATGTCTTTCAGGAATGAAACCTGTGGAAGGGGGATCCCTGGGTAGCTCAGCGGTTTAGCACCTGCTTTCAGCCCAGAGCGTGATCCTGGAGTCCGGGGATCAAATCCCACATCAGGCTCCCTGCATGGAGCCTGCTTCTCCCTCTGTCTGTGTCTCTCATGAATAAATAAAATCTTTATTTTTTTATTTTTTAAATTTACGATAGTCACACAGAGAGAGAGAGGCAGAGACATAGGCAGAGGGAGAAGCAGGCTCCATGCACCGGGAGCCCGGTGTGGAATTCGATCCCGGGTCTGCCAGGATCGCGCCCTGGGCCAAAGGCAGGCGCCAAACCGCTGCGCCACCCAGGGATCCCTAAATAAAATCTTTAAAAAAACAAAAAACAAAACTGTGGAGGTTTTAAGTTGTCTGACAAAGTACATTTAAACAAATGCGATACAAAAGCTCACCTAAAGCAGAAGACATACCTTTAAGTCCAGACACTGTTTTCAAGTGAAAAGCCTAAAAAAAGAAGGCATCTTTGTTTCATGTCAATGTTAAAATTAGAATACCAATTCAACATAGCTGACATTTCCCTTATATCTATGCCATTAGTAGTTCTACAGCCTAGGAACTACCTTCAGTTTATCAATACCCCCACCATCACTTTAATCTGCTTTAGGGATCTTGTTCCTTCTTATCTGTATCAGAACTCATACTGAGCCATGAGTTCTGGGTTGCAAAAGAGGATTTATTTTTTGCACTTAGTCTAAGTCTTTGTTCACAGCTAAACAAAAACATGTACAAGTGCGATCCCTAAAAAACTAGATATTTAGTGGCATAATTTAATTAGCAATATACAATAGTGATAAGAAAGTAGTAGTTGAGATAGTCTAACTATCTTATAAGTGCTTATTACAGTACTATACATTCGACTCTAAAGGTCTCTGTTGTCTGAATAACTGTGATCAAAATGGTCTCAGTCGTGCCTGCCTGGCTCATGTCATGATCCTGGGAGTCCTGGGATTGGACCCTGTGTCAGATTCCCTGCTCGGTAAGGAATCTGCTTCTCCCCACGTTCATGCTCTTACTCTAATAAGTAAAATCTTAAAAAAAAAAAAAAAGATAAAAGGCTTTAAGTACTCAGAGGAATCGATGGTTGTGGTTGTTTGTCCATCATTAGTGATTACAATAAAGGTTTCAGGATTACAGTCTCTAATTTCTTTAATTTGAATGCTCAAATATCCTTCCATTTACAACAGATTGAAAGAAGTCACTGTAAATTACAAGGTAAGAATTTTTAAAATGCTTACAAGGAATGAGTCTATATGGAGATAAAGACCAAGTATTAAAGTAGCAAGTAGCTACTATAGAACCACAAAGGAAAAAACTTCCATATCTTAAAGTCTTGATTTTTGCAAACTCTGAAATAAACAAATATAGGCAAAACAGTAAGATCTTCTACTTATTTGGTGCTATGCAAGTCTCAATTTTTTCTACATGTATTATTATGTATTATTTCACTGTTTTAAAGTATTTTTTCTAATAATTCTTTAGTAGGAGTTTCATAACTTGTTCAGAGATTTTTTTCTCCTTAACCAGGTTCTATCACTACACCAACATAGGTAGGTAATTTGCTTCTATCACCTTTACTTTCTATGAAAAGTTGTTTCCCATTTACCTTAATATTCATATTCCTATCTCTTCCTTTTCAGACCATTCTATCCTCTGTCCCATGTTTTTGGACTTTGATGCTCTCTTTTTAGACGAAGCAGCTTCTTCAGTATATTCCTCTTGTCCTAAATACAGATTCATTTTCTTTGGTATTTCAGAACTTACTATGAATTCATTATTGTCCTGCATAAAAAAAATCAGTATTAATTACTAAATTTTTAAATAAATAGTAATAAATTACTAAATTACTAAATTAATTACTAAATTTTACTGCTTTAGTAGTTACACATTAACAACTCTAGGTGACTTAAATCACTTGGTGACTAAGACCTGATGTTGAAAACCCAAATTCAGCTTATTTTTTTCATTAGAAAATCCTAATTAGACATCCTAACAGCAAAACTTAACCTATTAACTTATTAACACTACTGAAAAGCCTGTGTTCTCACCAAGTATCCAAATAACCCCTATTTTTATTTTTACATTCCCTGCAACAAATCCATTGCGCCTTTCAAGAACTAAATTCAGGCAATAATGGATTAGATTATTCCCATAGAACTGCTATCCTCCAAAAATGAAATGGGACAAAAATGTCACTTACCACCAATTTTATATCACATCCATCATCATGTTCAAGAGTTGTTGCAGCCTCTTCCACTGTTCTGTAACATTAAAATATATCTTCACTCATCTGACAAAATCTTCTAGAACCCAATTAGTAGTATACAGTCCTAATATACAACTGAAGCAGCAATACTAGTAAGGAGAATAATTATGTTGTCATGTATATAACATCCCAAAATGGATGGCTCAAGCACCAAGCTCAACTACAACCCACATGGCTTACTGTATGTGCTCACATCACGATTCAAGTACAGACAAATCCCTAACAGTATGGAACAATTAGCATTCAAATTTACTTTTTTTTTTAAGATTTTATTTATTCATGACACAGAGAGACAGGCACAGACATAGGCCCAGGGAAAAGCAGGCTCCCCACAGGAACCGAATGCGGGGCTCAATCCCCAGACCCCAGGATCAGAATCTGAGCCAAAGGCAGATGCTCAACCACTGAGTCACCCAGGTGCGCCAACATTCAAATTTAAAAAACAGATTTAATTCAATAAAATCTAGACCAACAAAATATGTCACATGATTAAACTTACTCTGACTCTTCAATAGGAGAGAGAGATCCATCATCATCCAAGTATTTGTATCTACGACTGTCAAAATCTTCCCTTTCTAAATCTTCACCAACATTCATTTGTTTCAAGGATTCCTTGAGATAGTATTCATATTTCAATTTTTCAAGGTAGTTGAAAAATCCTCTTGCCACCGCTTGCTGAATATCAAACAGTTTTAATAGTTTTACAAAATATAAAATTTTCTCTCATGACTCAAGCTCAAGATGCCTCAAGATTACCAAACTCTGTAAGTGATCTTAATTTACTCACTCTTCCATATGTGGGTCACATATACCAGATGCTGGTTGTAAAAGGAATCCACTATCTACCCAGCACATTATCAAATTTATCTAAATTGGTATACCAAGAAAAACTAAGCACAAATCTGGTTTGGGAATTTCTAAAAACATTTCAATGCAAACAAATCTTTAATGTTCATATAATCAGCTTAAAACATAAAAGTCTAGAGAGTATTCCTTGAAATCACCAATTCTAGAGCAAATATTATAAACTATGCAAGCATTTAACTCAAATACTTGAATTTACTGCTAAGTTATCAGGCAATTCTGTCAAAAATCGAGTATTCAGTATAAGATGACCTCTACTAAAGCCACTGCACATGGAAGGTATGGGTGGGTTTGACTTAGGTTACTATATAACACCTGGAATCACTTGAGTTTGAGAGATGTTTATAATGACCTGATGAGACCAAGGGATTTTATATAAACAGCCTTGAAGCACCTCATATATGGGTATATTCACTGAATATACCAGCTAAGAATCCACCCAGAAACCCAGGTGAAGTCTGTACTAAAGGATGGGTTGGTCTTGAAGTGGCAGTTAAGTCACTACAGAAGACTATTATCAAAGTCCGGATTCAATTTTTGGCATATCTAAACTCTAAAAGTGGCCAACAAGTCAGATTAGACATTTTAGCTATGTATCTACATATAAAATACTGACTCACCTCAAAGCTTAAAATCTTTCTCCATGGTAATGGCTTTTTTACATTCTCAGATTCTAAAAATGGGAACCCAGATCCTTTGTCTTTAACTTGTTTCTTATTTATTTGGGAGCGTCTAGTGGTTTTTCTTCCTTCTGGTCTTCCCCTTGGTCTTTCTTTTGGCTTATATTTCCTCTTTTTACGTTTCTTTTTTTTGAATCTTTCAAAAATAGCTTTTAAAGTCAGTGGTCTTGGTTCAAAAGAGGAGTCACTAGATGAATCTCTTGCTTCAACACCTCCAGATGAACGAACAAACTTTCTAATAGGGTTTCTTTGCCCCTGTTTTGGTGAGTAAGGGACACACTGAGTCTTAAATAAGCTGCTACCAGAAGAATTATCACTAGGAAAAAAAAGGGGGGGGGAATTAATTGCACCCTTTTCTATTACCAAATACTTATTACCATAATGTAGTTTTCTCCCACAGACCAAAAGCCGGAAAACATGTTCAGAATAATTTTTAAAAAGATGGGCTCAGTACTAACTAAGCCAACTCCTTAGTTCTGGCTACTTGAAATAATAACACCATGTGCCATATGCCATAGCACTTACCAAAAAATGATTTTCCAAGAGAAATAATGTTAACTTTAATTTCCAAAGACAGTCTTGTTTACTGCTAGAGCTTGCCTGATATAATGCAAGAGTAGCCTAGCAGATAGATACTGACTTGAAAACAGGAGGAACGCTGATTTGATTTCCCAGTAACTAGGTATTTCCATCATGTATATATTACCTGCGACCACTATTATAATGTGCATTATCACAAGTTGATTTTTAAGCAATATTCCCCACTGATGTCCATTTTCCTGTTTTAAGATTAGGAGTGATTTAGTCAGAAAGAGATATCAAATTAACCCAGAGAATATTCTCCTGTTTCCCTGGTTAGAACATGTCCTACCGTTAACTAAATAAACTGAAGACCTGTGTAAAACTGAAGACCTTCCTTTTCTTTCCTAATTCTTGAAAAACATCTTTACTGCTTACCCAGTAATACAAAGGTTATCGTCAAATTTAGTCAGTTTTGCAGTAAAAAATCTAGTGGTGGTGGTGAATTTAAAAAAAAAGGGGGGGGCACTTACCTTTCATTGTCAATTTCTACAGCTGAATTAGATGCCATTATAGGTTGAAAAAATTCGTTACTTATTCTCCCCCAAGTCCTCTCCAAATTGTATTCACCACTTGTTTGCTTCAGAGTTCTGAAAATTCAGTAAATGTAGTCTCTGAACAAATGCCAACAGAATCAGCTAGTATCCCAGTAATACAAAATTTAATGTAGTCGTATTATGCCATTTTATGTAAATTAAGGCAAAATTATATACAAAGCCCTTAACATTCTTACATAGGAATTATCATTTTCCAATCAAATTCTAAAATCTGGAAACTGAATGGCTTCCATCTTTCAGTTGTCTTCTAAATCTATCCAGTGGATTAAGATTCCAGAACGATACTGTCATTTCCATAAAGAGTATTAAACATCTTCTCATAAAACAAAATGTAATTTTACTAACCATGTATGTACAAGTATTCACGTACAATTAATGGCCAAAGGCTGCAGCAGACGTAAACTCCTTGGAGTAACTCAAAGCCAGAAGGCAGTGTTGCCTCAGCATACCAGGAAAAATAATCACGATTTACCACCTCAATCCAAAATCCTGGATATCCATTTGTAGCCTCTTCTCATTCACCCTACGCACGATTCATCAATGTCACCGTGCAACCTCTTCCTTGGCATATTTACTTTTTAAGTCCTGAATTCTCAAACTTTTCAGTGTAAGGCTCACAGACCACACAGTGGTGCCCTATGTTTCCCTTTTCAAAATCTCCTTGGGAGATCTTAAGAGTAATGGGCAAAAAAACCCCGAAAGAAGTCTTGTTTCACTACCGCATCTCCCTTATAGAGGATGCCGGCGTTCTTCCGCTTTTGTGTTTAGTCTTTAGTATGCTTGAGGACAACTGAGCGATGAAGAAAGAAACCCTAGGATAAAATGGCAAAACATCTCAAATACGGAAAAACATGAAGGTCAACGCAAGTCTTGGAGATTTGCAAACTGTCCGGCGGACTCACAGTAACCTTAGGATTGGTTGGTAGTTCTTTAAAATGCAAAGACCTAAGAATTAATTAGATAAATGCTCAAACACGAAATTTAACAAATATTGGGGGCAATGGCACGGGGTATACTGGAGGTTAGAGCTGTCTTCCTATTACAGATCTTTAGAACAGACCGCATTTTCACAACACAGTTTACTCAAAAACCGTTTTCCCGGAAACCGTTCACAAAACATTCCCCAAGAAACGCGCCTTCCTATTCCAAGATCCGGCAGGAGGCCACGTGTCCCTGTCCGTAGTCCTTACCACCTGCATCCCGACCCTAGGCAGCACGCCCATCACGGTGCAGGGGCGGGCCCCCACCGTCGGGGCCTGCCCTCCGCGGCTCCAGCCTCCGGAGCAGCGCAGGGACCCTGCCTAGCTCACCAGGCCCGACGGTCGGGTCTTCCTCCCCACCCACCGCGGCCAGCGGCTCGCGCCTCAAGTGCCGGCGCAGCACGGGCCCCTGCTGCGGAGTCGCGCCTCGCAACCCTGGCCTCGGAGGCCCGCATTCAGCAACCCCCCGTCCCGAGCACCCCACCACGCCACGACCGCCTACCCCAACAACCACGCGGAAGGAAAGGAAGGCCGCCCCCGCGACCCAGCTAATAGCGGGCCCGAAATCTCGCGAGAACAATCGGACGCCGCGAGGACCGTGAAGAACGGGAGGAGGCGAGGCCCGGGCCGCCATTTTGGCGTTGCGGGGGCGGGGCGAGTGGCGGGGGGCGGTGCCTGGGCGCCGTCAGGAGGAGGGGGCCCGCTCCGCCGGTCCGAGCGTTCGGGGGCGTGGCCACGCCCGTCTCCGCAGGTGACCGGAACACGCGCGGGGCCGAGTCAGCTGGGTGGGTGAGAGCTGCGAGGAGACAGCGACTGAGCTGTTGCCCGGGTCTCACGTCTGCCGAGCCGGCGGGTTTCCGGAGCCTTCGGGCGCGGCGTGCGCGGCGGGGAGTGCGGCGCCGGCTGCGTCTCGCGGTGGCTGCGTCGCCCTCCCTCTAGCGTGCGCGTCGGTGGCGGTGTCCGGCGTGCGCTGACTGGACGCCGGCGTCTCCGTGGCTCGCCGCACGCCCGCCGCACGCCCCCCGCCCGCCCCCGGGCGCGTCGTGCTCGCTCGCTCGCTCGCTCGCTCGCCCGCCCGCTCTCCCCACGCGGAGGCCCGCCTCCAGGGCCGGGCGAGCCTGTCGCGAGGCACCGGCGGTGGGATTCTTTTCCTCTGAGTTTTTGACTCCGTAGTCCCCTGAATGGCTGCCGGGCGTTGAAACGGTTTAAACGAGGTTCGTTTGGGTGGGGTGTTTAGCCTACAGGACTTAGAAAGGAACGAGCTGGTTCGCCGTGTCCACTGTCAGACCTCGGGTCGGCGGTAGGCCTGGAAGGCTGCGCCGCCCTGCGTGGTTGGTCTCCACCCCAGGATTGAGCGAACCTTCAAGGGGATCTGGTCTCTTCACTCAGTTTCACTCTAAATATTGAAAACATTCCAGGCATAAAGGTCGAGTCCTCTAGGCATCTGCACAGTCTGGGAAACGCTGGGAAGCGCCTGGACCGGGAGCGCGTGTCTGACTCCTGCCCTGTGTGGGAGCAGGCCTGGCCCTGTTATTTCTGAGCCTCGGTACGAAATGAAAATCCAGGTCCGAAGATAGGTCCTGATCCCTAAAGGTCCTAAAATAAAGCGGCCTCCTTTCTTCTCTAGGATCTCCTTTGACTTGTCATGCTGTTTCAACCAATCGCACTATTAATTTATTATTATGCTATTATTAATAGAAATTTGCTATTTTTTAAGCTGTTATTTATTTATTCATAGAGACACACAGAGAGAGAGGCAGAGACACAGGCAGAGGGAGAAGCAGGCTCCATGCCAGGAGCCCGATGTGGGACTCGATCCTCCATCTCCAGGATCACACCCTGGGCTGCAGGCTGCGCCACCGGGGCTGCCCCATGTATTTTGTTCTTACTAGGACAATAGAAACTGCACAAAACCAACTCATCTCTCCTTTTTTTCTTCTTCTTGATGTATTCACGTTCTACCAACACTATGGAATCTCTGGACTTTGAGTCTCACAGAACTCCCACAGATGGTGGGTCCACCAGATTCCTGTGCTTATGGGCTTTCACAAATGCTTTATGTGAATGAGGTAGCAAGGGATAGTAGTGGACATGCACTTTGCCCCCCCCCCCCCCCCCCCCCCCCGGCCTCTGATCCTGCACATCTTCCCTTATCCTATTTGGTCCTAAAAGTTCAATATAGGAGTGCCTGGGTGGCTCAGACTGTGAAGCCTCTGCCTTCTGCTCAGATCATGGTCCGAGTCCTTGGATCAAGCCCTGCATTGGGCTCCCTGCTCCATGGGGGGCCTGCTTCTCCCTCTGCCTCTACCTGCTTGTTCTCTCTGTCAAATTAATAAAGTCTTTTTTTTAAAATTCATATATAAAGTTAAGAATTTCAGCGTGGTGACAATAGCATTAAACCAAATGGCATTCTGAGCACATGGCCCTAGGTCATTATGCTACTTGCGTACCCCTGAAGCCAGTCCTATCCCAGAGACTTATGAGTCTGATAAATTGTAAATTTTCGATAAATAATTAAGGCTGCACTGATGCCCACTAGGAAGGCACTTGGAAGACAGAACCACAGTCCTGTCTTCAAAGAGATCACAGCCTAGGTGAAAGAAACAAAGTGAACAGATGATAACTCTGAGAGCTCTAAGATGGTACTGTAAAAAAATTCTGTCTTCTAGGAGTTGAAATGTGTCATTTTATCACAGGCTAACCCACAGATAATAATGTATAATGTGAGGAGTTCTGGATTTAGAGTGGGCTACATTTGGTTTTGAATTATTCCTGCCACTTTAACAGCTGAAGGACCTCAAGTAAATAGTATATTCTCTCTGGCCTATTTCTCTTTTGTAAAAGAAGTATAATATCTATTCAGTGCGAGAGGTTCTGAGAGAATGTAAAATGCCTAACATAGTATGGGTTATATAGCGTGCTGTCAGTAGTTATCAGCTTTGTTGCTACAGTTGGTCTACCCATTAGGCATTGTCTGTTCAGCTCCACTTATCCAACTGCCTCCCATTTATATTCTTCCATTCTCCAGACCCAACTTCTGGGCCACTGACTCCCAGTAACTGAAGCTGCAGGGTGAATATCCTGTGCCTCCTTACAGCCCAAAGCTCTCCTCCTAGAGCCACTTTTGAGTTTATATTCGAACTTTTTTTTTTTTAAGGTTTTCCTTATATATTTATTACTTACTTGAGAGAGAGTGAGCTTGAGCAAAGGCAGAGGGAGAAGCAGGCTCCTCCCCAAGCAGGGAGCCCAATGCTGAGCTTGATCCCAGGACCGTGGGATCATGACCTGAGCGGAAGACAGACGCTTAACCAACTGAACCACCCAGGTGCCCCATATAGTAGAACCTTTCTAACTACCTTCTCATCACTCCAACTCCAACCTCCTTCCCTCCCTCCTACATAAACACATTTATACACACATTACCACACTGCCTTCTGGGATGTTGGCTTGCCCGAAGGTCTACATTTCCAAACCAGTTCTCCAAATGTAGCCTCCCAGGTTTGGACTTTGTTTCTGTTTTCGTGGGGGAAAAACCAAACAAACTAATCTAACCTTTAAAAATGGCAGAGAATTGTATTTAACGTAAACTTGTCTTTATTATTTCTGCTAGAAACAGAAATCCCTAGAGTGCTTTTATTTTCCTTATTTTTATTGAGCAGATGTTGACATGTTCTTAATTAGTACTTTTTTATAAAGAAAATATAAGATGTTAACATTTGGGGATCCCTGGGTGGCGCAGCGGTTTGGCGCCTGCCTTTGGCCTGGGGCGTGATCCTGGAGACCCGGGATCGAATCCCACTTCGGGCTCCTGGTGCATGGAGCCTGCTTCTCCCTCTGCCTGTGTCTCTGCCTCTCTCTCTCTCTCTCTCTCTCTCTCTCTCTGTGACTATCATAAATAAATAAAAATTTAAAAAAAAAAATGTTAACATTTGGAAAATCTAGGTGAAGAATATGTAAGAATATTTATATGTGTTTTCTGTCCATCTGAAACTAATTTCAAAAAAATTAAAATGTTTCATTCCTGAACAGTTATAGATTATTTAACTGAAAGATATACTTGAGATCATTGAAATATGATTATATAGGACTTGGGACCCATTATCAATAGTACATTTTATTTGGGAGACTAGATTGTGCATATCATGTAATTAAAAGTTGGTATTTGGTGAAGTTCTTACGTAAATGTTAAGTCCTAAATGTATAGGTAGTATGTTTGTGGAGGATGTGTTTAAAATTATCATCAAAACCAGAAAACCAGTTTCTAAGAAACCTGTGAATCTTTGGAAAATTAAAAAAAGCCGGGGGTGGGGGGACTTTCTAAGTGATATTGAAAGACCACCTTTCAGTTGGTAAGTAAGCTTGTATCAGAGACTATTGAAATTAATAATTAACTTTTTTGGGTTAAAATATTTATTTATTTATTTTTGTATATTTTTTTTATTAGAGTTCGATTTGCCAACATATAGTATAACACCCAGTGCTCATCCTGTCAAGTGCCCCCCTCAGTACCCATCACCCAGTCATCCCATCCCCCGCCCACCTCCCCTTCCACTACCCCGTGTTTGTTTTTTTTATAAATTTATTTATTTATTCATGAGAGACAGAGAGAAAGGGGGGGGGGGCAGAGACATAGGCAGAGGGAGAAGCAGGCTCTCTGCAAGAGCCTGATGATCCCAGACTGCAGGATCATGCCTGGAGTCAAAGGTATGCATGCTCAACCTCTGAGCCACCCAGGTGTCCCTAGATTAATAATTAATAAGGTATTCTATTAACAATGTTAATGAGAATCAGAATAATGCTCTTAGAAACACTCTTAAAAAAGTTTTACCTGCAGTTTTTGTTGCAGTTTATTGAGAGTGGGATTCCCTGCCCATCTCACATTATTTTTGAGTGAGTTTTCTTTTTTAAGATTTTTTTTTTTTTTTTTTAATTCACGATAGAGAGAGAGAGAGGCAGAGACACAGGCAGAGGGAGAAGCAGGCTCCATGCAGGGAGCCCAATGTGGGACTAGATCCCGGGACTTCAGGATCGTGCCATGGGCCAAAGGCAGGCGCTAAACCGCTGAGCCACCCACGGATCCCCCTGAGTTTTTTTTTTTTTCCCTTCATTTTATTTACTTCTCTCTGCTTGCATATCTTCTCACCTGAACACTTAAGGTAAGGTACTAATCTCTGTGTATATATGTCTACTTATTGTAAAATATGCTTAGCCTATATTTTTTAAACTATAATTGGTTAGGTTATCAGAATAATTGAACATGAAAGCTGCTTACCAAGAAAGTATATTTATTTATTTGTAAATAAAAGTAATAATTTGAATTTCAATAGCTATTCATTTGTAGAAGTGTGCATTTCTCTTAGTCATTTAAATTTTCTTTTGTAAAATATATAGTCTAAGAAACTTGTTTAAGTGTTAGCCCAAATGTCATATATAGAAGAGAAAACACAAATTATCTATGAGCGATTTATTTGAGTGTCCTATACTACTATCAACAACCATTTAAACAGTTACTTATAAACCCTTAAAACTATCTTTTGCTTCAGGACCTACATTCCTTAGACCAACCATCAGACAACTGCATGTTCAATCCACATATAACACCAAAGAAAATGAATTGTGCCTTCTTGGCTTGACATTTCCTTTTGTCTGTTTGAAGTGTTGACTTTAAAAATATCAGTATTAAAAAAGGTTACTTGGGCATTCCTCACTTGGAATATTAAATACAGGAAACACTGGTTGCCTTTCTATGAGGAAAGAAAAGTAAATACCCTTTTGCCCTTTTTATATAACTAAACTCTCAGTGTTCCTTTCCAGAGAAACAACTGTTCATGCATGGTGCACGACCAACTCTTGTGATCACTGACCTGCCATAGCCTTATGTGTATAGTCTTGCACCTAAAGAAGAAAGAAATGGCTTGTGTTGAGTATTCTTTTCATGTGCCAAGTCTTGAGGAGCTTGTTGTAGGTAAATGCAATACTAATTTTAAGTATTTTGAGATTGTTCTAAGGAAAAAATTTAAAAATATAAACATTCTAAGGTATGATTTGTGCAATAGTATTTTCAATGCAGAACTCACTTTCCTGGGGCACTTGGGTGGCTTAGTCGGTTAAGCGTCTGCCTTTGGTTCAGGTCAGGATCCCAGGATAGAGCCCTGCTTTGGGCTCCCTGCTCAGTGAGGAGTCTGCTTCTCCCTCTCCCTCTGCCCCGCTCTTTCTCTCTCTAGCTCATTCTCTCTCACTCAAAAAAATAAAATCTTTCTTTTTTTAAGAACTCATTTTCCTTTTCCTCTTTGTCCTTTTAAAAAAAAAAAAGTTCATTTATTTCAGAGAGAGAGAAAAAGAGAATATGAGCAGGTCTCCACTTGGAAGAGGGAAAGAATCCCAAGCTGACTCTGCCCTAAGTGGCGCTGAGCCTCAGGCGCCATCCCATGACCCATGAGATCCTGACCTGAGCCAAAACCAAGATCAGATGCCCAACTGTCAGAGCCACACACGTGCCCGTCTTCGTACTATTTTTGTTGAGAGTCCAAAATTATCCCCCCCCTAAAAAAACTAAACTCACCATTTGAAGATTCTTGTTAAAGATACCAACTTTACAGAATGAAAATGAATATAGTAATCCAAGATTTAAGTATATGTGATGCCCAAAAAGTCACACAATTTTAACTTCTTACCAGTCACAGTATTCTTTAAATATATAATCTACTGTGGCATATTAATCACTTTCCTAACATTACTACTTTTTCCCCTTCTCCTGATATGATAGACTGCCAGTGAACTTGCTTAGATTTCTCTGTGTATATTTTTATGCATTTACCCTTGTTCAAACAAGAACTTAAGGCAGCTTCACAAAGTTAATTAGAGGGGTGATAGATAAGAAAAAGTAAATAAAAATCAGAATATGAAATGAAACCAGTATAGTTTGGGTTAGTACTAACCCAAAACTACGTAGCCCGTCAGAAAGCTAACATTTGTTTGACAACCTTTTGGTTCTATTCTGACAGTAACTATAAAACCCACCCTTTGCAAAGTGTACCCATCCTGACAGTTCATCTGTATGTCTGATAGGTCAAGAAGTGTACTCAGGTTTTGCTTGGTTGTGGCTCTCTTCTTCTGACCTTCCTATTTTTTCTTTAATTTGGATGGCAGCTCAATAATCTGTATTACTAGTATTCTTTGCCTGTATCTCTTTTTTGTCTTTCTGTTTTCCCTGATAAGACAGGACAGCTAGGAATCATTTCTTTGAGGGCCTTTCTACATCTATCTTCTCTTGTGTGTTTATGTTTTATGTTCCTTCTATATGTACAGGACATATTCAGAACAAAGTAGAAATGGAATCTGAGTTTCTTGGCTTAAAATTTATTTTCAGTTTTACAGAAAATACTATAGCTAGAATTTGGTCTCTTTGTAACTGATAAAAAAATAGATTTTACTGTATTTCTACATGCTGAAATCTTTATATATTCATAAGTTTGCAGTCATCAGTTTAGGGAGGAGAATTTTCCAGGCAACTTGGTTTCTGTTTTCATGTAGATAATGTTTTATATCTGGAATGGGATGTCTACATAGCTAGATTTAGGACGGCTTCGTGTTTTGGAGAATCTGATTCTATAAAACCTAAACTAATGGCTAACTACTTTCAGAGAAATTTTTGTGGAAACTTATCACCCTTAGAAATACATTGCTCTGGGCAGCCCCGGTGGCGCAGCGGTTTGGCACCGCCTGCAGCCCGGGTTGTGATCCTGGAGACCCCGGGATCGAGTCCCATGTCGGGCTCCCTGCATGGAGCCTGCTTCTCCCTCTTCCTGTGTCTTTGCCTCTCTCTCTCTCTGTGTGTCTGTATGAATGAATGAATGAATGAATGAATGAATAATTAATTAATTAATTAAATCTTAAAAAAAAGAAATACATTGCTCTTAGGGGCTTCTGGGTGGCTCAGTTAAGCATCTAACTCTTGGTTTCTGCTCAGATCATGATCTCAGGGTCATGAGATAGAGTCCTGTGTTGGCCTCTGCACTGGGTTGGAGCCTGCTTAAGATTCTCTTTCCTCCCCCTCCTCTCTCCATCCAAAAAAGAAAGAGAGAAGTTCATTGCTCCTAGATTTATAACTTTGAAATATGTTTGCTTTTTCTGCTTTTTTTTATTGAGTTATAACATATCTCCAATAACACAAACTGATCTTAAGTGTACAGCTTGATGAATTTTACCATGTTCATACCCATGATTGCCATCCAGATCGAGATATAAAATATTTCCAGCATCCCAGAAGACTCCTGTATTTACTTTTCCAGTCAATATCTCTACCCCAAGAGGTAACACTGTTCTGACTTTTATCACCTTAGATTAGTTGCCTGATTTTGAAGCACATATAAGTGAAGTCATATATATTCTTTTGTGTCTTACTCCTTTTGCTCAACATTTCGTCTTCAAGTGTCAGTGAAGTTGTTACATGTAATTGCTTACTTTCTAACAGTTTATTTTTTTAAAAGATTTATTTCTTTATTTATTCATGAGAGACACAGAGAGAAGCAGAGACATAGGCAGAGGGAGAAGCAGGCTCTCTCCTGGGAGCCCAGATCCCAAGGATCACGCCCTGAGCCAAAAGCAGCCACTGAGCCACCCAGGGTCCCTCTAACAGTTTAAATATATACATTTCTGTAGGTCTTTGGAATTCTCTCCCCAAAAGGGAGGTAATACCCACTTTAGTGTTTATCTTCAGCGGTTTAAATCTCTACAGATTTACAGATTTTTATGGAGGTATTGTATGGAGGTATTTGATATGACACGTGATTAATTGTGTGTCTAATGTTTAATTATATTCATTAAGAAGACCATTTCACCCTCTCTTTTTTTTTAAAGATTTTATTTATTCATGAGAGAGAGAGAGGCAGAGACACAGGCAGAAGGAGAAGCAGGCACCATGCAGGGAGCCTGATCTGGGGCTCCATCCCAGGTCTCCAGGATTATACCCCAGGCTGAAGGTGGCGCTAAATCGCTGGGCCACAGGGGCTGCCCTCTTTTTTTTTTTTTTTTTTTTTTTAAAGTAAGCTCTACATTGAACTTGGGGCTTGAACCAAGATAAGGAGTCTCTTGCTCTACCAACTGAGCTAGCTAGGTGCACATCACCCCCACCCCAACATTTATAAATACAAGTTTAGATTGGGAGCATGATACCCAAAATGTTGAGGGAAGATTTGGTATATGGTGGCAAATTTTCACCTAATTTTTTTTTTTTTAAGATTTTATTTATTCATGGGAGACACAGAGAAAGCAGAGACATGGGCAGCATGTCTCCTGCAGGGAGCCTGATGTGGAACTTGATCCTGGAATCCAGGGCATGGCCTGAGCCCAAGGCAGACGCCCAACCGCTGAGCCACTCAGGTGTCCCTCACCTAATGTTTAATAACCTTTTTCCTTGTCTTTGTCAGTTCTGCAGAAGGGGCTAAAGGGTAACTTTGCTGATGTCCAGGTCTCTGTGGTTGATTGCCCTGATCTGACTAAGGAGCCATTTACCTTTCCTGTAAAAGGTAAACGATTTTTGCAGTTTACTGTTTTTGGTCCTAATCTCTTTCTGAAAACCAATTATAAAAGTAACCTATTCTCCTCACTAAATAACTAATAAATTCGTTAAAATAAAATTAAGAAATCAGAAAACACAGAAGACAAAAAAAGGTTTCTAATAATTTGTAAGCCTTTAAATTGCAACACTAAGGAAGCTATATATGTATGTTTATATATGAATGATGTCTTATAAATGTTGTTAGGTAGCTTTTAAATGAACTGGTATTATTGAAGTCACCAACGATTTTGGTTTGTTTACTAGTATTATCTGATCTCTAACATATTACATAGTATCTGGCTGTTGCTGCCTGACATTCTCTCTCCTTGGTTCTTTTGCCTGTACTTCCTGTGTACCTTTCCTACTTCTATGTTCTTCATTTTTCCTAGATCCCTTTTCTTTCTGGCAGGCTCTGAAATCCTGACATTTTCTAGAATCTTTGCTCAGCCTTTTCTTACTCTACAATCTCTGCATTTTTTCGTATAGTCCGCTGGTTTTAAATTACTATTTGGCTACAAGAATTTGAAATCTGCACATCTCACCTAGGTCTCTCATTTTCTTAGTTACAGATCAGTAATTCCAGCTGTCCACAGGACATTTCCATCTATATATTGCTCCCCACGGGGAACCCAATGCAGGACTCAATCCCAGGACACCAGGATCACAACCTGAGCCAAAGGCAGACGCTTAACCACTGAGCCACCCAGGCACCCCTAAAAGCACAGATTTTTAAAGGAATAGGTCATTATAGACTAATTCTGGAAATTTCATCCTATCCAAACTTTGGCTTCAATTCTAGCCTTGCTCTATTATCAACTTTCTATTGCCTTTATGCTACCAACTATATCAAGCCAGGCTTGGTTATGACAATATTGGAAACACAAGTAATTAGAATAGGATAGGGATCATAACTACTTTCATCTTCCAATCCCTGCTATTTGTAAAACTGAGGGAATGGAAAAGTTACATACTCTTAATAAATTAAATTAGTGTCTCTTGACATTTTATACTTAAGTTAGATGTTTGCCTATTTTTAAGATGACTTCTTTTTTTTTAGGCATCTGTGGGAAAACTAGAATTGCAGAAGTAGGAGGTGTGCCTTACTTATTGCCTCTTGTAAATAAAGAAAAAGTAAGTGTACTTTAACTCCTCACATTCACATGAAGATTATAAGAAGTTGGGTTGATTCCTCTTTATATTATTATAAGATCCATTGACCAGTGTGTCAAGGAAGGGTTAGTGGACTCATTCAAAAATAATAAACCAAGAGATTTGTTTAAGTTATTTAAATAATATTTTTTCTTCTTATATAGGTTTATGATCTAAATAAGATTGCAAAAGAAATCAAGCTTCCTGGAGCTTTTATTCTTGGAGCAGGAGCAGGCCCATTTCAGACTCTTGGGTTCAACGCTGAGGTCCGCATTCATATAATTATTTTATTTTATTGATTTGACATTTGGTTTATCTTTTTTCTTTTATTGCCCTATCAGAGAGTCTGCTTTCTGAATGTATTATAAATGGTCGATGTCATCTTTCTTTACAGATTCAATACTGTGTGATTCAGATTTTGACAATAGCATATGCTCCAACGGTAATGGAGCACTAACCTCTAATTTCACATTTTCTTAGGGTATGCACTCAGTGTTAAATGAGACCTAATATAGTCTGCTGAGAACCCTGGATTGTGAAAGATTTTAATCCTTACACATCAGAGAATTCCTAGCTTCACTATAGTTCATTCCTTTTGATACAAGAGGAGCTTTTGATGAGATGAATGGAATAATTAATGATCTCATCCGTTCCCTCTTTCAGACTAAGTAGTAAGCCCCTACCCCAGTAGTATGATGATTATTTACAAAAGGTACTATCTATTACTCTGTATGTTAGTATGTTTACAACATAAAAAAAAAGTTTCTTCACATCTCTTAAATAGAAGAATGAAGGACCTCTTCATTCTGCCCATCCCCTCACCTCTTCTGATGTAACCATTAGTCAATAATCATACAAGTTCTTTTGTAGAAAGATGAATATAATTTACCTAGTGTTCAATATAGAAAAAAAAAGTTTAAAATCTAAAGACAGACATTTTAAAGCACAATTTACAATGTTCTAGAAACTGTAAGAAATACTGTGAACATAAGATATTTTGTCAATTTTTTGTTGTTTATAAATCTTTAACATCTTGAATCTAAAATTAAATATTTCATACTTCATGTTTTCTTACTAGATTCTGATATATCTAAAGTCAAGGATAAGATCCTTTGTTATGTTACTCAAGATACTCTCTTTGCATGTTGATGCCAGGGTTGACCAATTTACTTTCTTATTTTACTTTTCAGTTTATGCCAGTTATTCAAATAGGAAGTGAACATAAACCTGCAATGAATGGAAGTTACTTTGCCCGTATTAACCCTGCAGATGGAGGGTGCCTGCTAGAGAAATACAGTGAGAAATACCATGATTTTGGGTGTGCATTACTGGCTAATCTTTTTGCCAGTGAGGGCCAACCTGGAAAGGTGACTTTTTTTGTTGTTGTTCACAAAACACAGTATTCTCCAAAAGTTCCCAGATAGCTAAAAAAAAGTTGAATTTTTATTGTCACAAATATGGTTTTCTTAATTCAAAACTAGCTAAGTCAAATTTCTTTAACCCAGTTATGAAAGATTACTATAGTACTACAGGCAAGGTGGAAGTCTTATTTAAAACTGAGGTTAGGAATACTTAGTAAGCAATACCTTTTTTTCTGAGGAATAAAAGGTAACAATATTCATGGGGGAGTGAGTCAAACATATGAGCTGTGCAGTTGAAGTAAATAGATAATGCCAGTCCCTAGTTAGTCTATAGGTAGTTTGCTCATTCCTGATGGATTGGATGTTGGTTGATCTAGACTGAAATGGTGGTAGCAAAATATAGCAAGGAGCTTAGGAAACTTCATATTTACTTCCTGTTAGAACACCAAAAGATGATAACAGTGTTAGCAATTATGAGAACTCAGATTTTTAAATAGAGTAGCTACTTTAGCTACTTTGAGAAATGAGGTAGTGAATTAAAAAGATATGTTTAAGGGGTACCTGGGTAGCTCGGTTGGTTAAACATCTGATTCTTGATCGCAGCTCAGGTCTTGATTATATGCTTCACTTTGATAGTTATCCACATAATATTTTGCAGCTTAGAACAATGGTATGCATATTTATATCCTCTCTAGGTCATTGAGGTGAAAGCCAAAAGAAGAACTGGAAAACTTAACTTTGTGACTTGTATGAGACAGACTCTTGAAAAACATTATGGAGATAAACCTGTAGGGATGGGAGGGACTTTCGTAATTGAGAAGGGAAAAGCAAAGACTCACATAATGGTAAGGGCCTTTGTGTCTATCCTTGCATGCGTATGTGGGTATGTATGTGCACATACTTAAGATCTTAGGATTTATAATAGAATGTAGTAGAATGGAGAATTCTACCCTTAAAGACACCCTGAATACTTTTCTTATGATTGTATTACTTTAAAACTTAAATAACAAACAATACTGTAAATCATATTGTGAGATAATGTCTAACTAGGGTCCTTTTTCATGTTAATATATTAGAAGTTTCTTTTCACTGTGTTTGTTTTTAAGATCTAGATAGACTTGAATATAAGCCTTAGAAATGGATTATCATTTTTATTGCCAGAATCCCAAACTCCATACATAGACTTTGCTATTAAGATGGTTGTGGTGGGGTGCCTGGTGGCACAGTCATTTGGATGTCCAACTCTTGTTATCGGCTCAGGTTGCGATCTGAGGGTTGTGAGATCAAGCCCAGCATCAGGCTCTGTTCTGGGTGGAGCCTGTTTGGGATTCTCTCTCTCTCCCCCTCTCCCCCTCTCCTCCTCTCCTCCTCTCCTCCCTCTCTTTCTCACTCTCCTTGCACTCAAAAACAAAACAAACAAACAAAAAACATGATGGTTTTGGGGAAAGGACTCATTATGAAAATTATGATCTTACAGGCTGATTATACAAGTTTATAAGACATCAAGGATGGAATACTATATGAAGCAAGACCTAGGGCATTCAGGGTTTTTTTTTTTTTTTTTCATTCAGGTTTTAAAATCATTTTTTGGAGGTGAATAAATGAATAGTATAAAAGTAATTACAACTCAATTTCCTTTTCATTTTATCAATAAAATCATCAAAAAATGATTTTAATGTTTTTTATCCTGATAATTTGATTTTTTATTATATTTTTTAAAAGATTTTATTTATTTATTTTAGAGAGAGAAAGTGAGAGACAGTGTGTGTTCATGAGCAGGGTGAGGGGCAGAGGGAGAAGGAGAGAGAGAATCCCTAGCAAACTCTGTCCTGAGTGTGGAGCCCAACACGGGGCTCAGTCCTATGACCTGAGATCAGGTCAGATGCTTAACTGACTGAGCCACCCTGATGCCGCATCCTGATAATTCTAAATGGCAAGCCAGCTAATTTTGCAAAGAAAAACACAACTTTGTGAAAATACTTAATTTTCCAAATTATTAAAAACAGAATTATAGATAAATCTATTTGTAAATACCAAATAATTATAGGATTTTTTAAAATGCAAGTACATAATATTTCATTACTAACCATGGGCATATCTTGTTTTATTGTGTTTCACATTATTGCATTCCACAAATACTGCATTTTTTTTTATAAATTGAAGGTTTGTGGCAACACCGCATCATGTAAGCCTTTTGCCACCAATTTTCCAACAACTTTTGCTCACTTCCTGTCTCTGTATTACATTTTGGTAATTCTTGCAATATTTCAAACTTTTCCATTATTATATTTGTTATAGTGGTCTGTGATCAGTGATCTTTGATGTAACCTTCATAATTGTTTTGGGGCACCATAAACTGTGTTCATATCAGATGAATAATTTAATGAGTAAATGTTGGTATGTTTTGACAGTTCCACCAACTGGCCATTCCCCTATCTCTCTCCCTCTCCTTGGGCCTCTCTATTCCCTAAGACACAACAATATTGAAATTAGGCCAGTTAATAATGCTACAATGGCCTCTAAAATGTTCAAGGGAGAGGGAGAGTCACACTTCTCTCACTTTAAATTAAAACCTAGAAATTATTAAGTTTAGTGAGGAAGGCATGTCAAAAGTCAAGTAAGGCCAAAAGCTAGACTTTCTGTCAAAATAGTGAAGTTATAAAGACAAAGGAAAAAGTTCTTAAAGGAAAATTAGACATGTTAGTCCAGTGAATACCCAAATGATAAGAAAGCAAAAACAGCCTTATTGATGATTTGGGTAAAGTTTTAGTGGCCTGAATAGAAGATCAAATTAGCCACAACATTCCCTTAAGCCAAAGCCTAATCCAGAGCAATTCTATGAAGGCTGTAAGAGGTGAGGAAGCTGCAAAAGAAAAGTTCATGTGTTTGAAGGAAAAAGCTATCTCCCTAACATACAATTGCAAGAGGAAGCAGAGCGTGCTGATGTGGAAGCTGTGACAAGTGATCCAGAGATCGAGCTAAGATAATTAATGAAGGTGGCTACACTAAACAACAGATTTTCAATGTAGACAAAAGAGCCTGCTATTAGAAAAAGATATCATGTAGGACTTTCACAGGTAAAGAGGAGAAGTTAGTGCCTACCTTCAAAGCTTCAAAGGACAGGGTGACTTTCTTGTTAGGGGTTAATGCAGTTGGTATCTTTCAGTTGAAGCCAGTGCTCATTTACCATGCTGAAAATCTTAGGGCCCTTAAAAATTATGCTAAATCTACGCTCCCTGTGTTCTATCAGTGGACCAACAAAGCCTGGGTGGTAGCGCATCTGTTTACAACATGGTTTACTGAATATTTTTGGCACACTGTTGAGACCTACTGCTCAGAAAAAAATATTCCTTTCATGCGCATTGACAATGCACCTGGTCACCCAAGAGCTCTGATGGAGATGTACAATGAGATGAATGTTTTCATGCCCACTAACACAGCATGCATTCTGCAGCCCATGGCTCAAGGAGTAATTTCAACTTTGAAGTCTTATTATTTAAGAAATATATTTCATAAGGTTATAGCTGGCTATAGCTATATGGCAGCTCAGGGCGAAGTCAATTGAAAACATTCTGGAAAAGGATTCACCATTCTAGATGCTGTTAACATTTGTGATTCATGAGAAGTCAAAATAACAAGTAGAAGTTTGGAAGTTAACTCTCATGGATAACTTTAAGGGGTTCAAGACTTGAGTGGAGGAAGTCATTTCAGATATGGTGGAAACAGTGAGAGAACTAGAATTAGAAGTGGAGCTTGAAGATGGGACTGGATTGCTGCCATCTCATGATAAAACTTTAATGGATGAGGAGTTGTTTCTTATGGATGAGCAAGGAAAGTGGTTTCTTAAGATGAAATCTGCTCCTAGTGAAGATGCTGTGGAGATTATTGAAATGACAACAAGGGATTTAGAATATTATATAAATGTAGTTGCTAAAGCAGCTATAAGGGTTTGAGAGGATTGAATCCAATTTTGTAAGTTCTACTATGGGTAAAATGCTATCAAACAGCATTGCATGCAACAGAGAAATCATTCATGAAAGGAAGAGTCAATTGGTATGGCCGACTTCACTGTGCCTTATTTTTAGACATTACCAGAGCCATCCCAATTTTCAGCAACCACCACCCTGAGCACCCAGCAGCCATCGACACTGAGGTAAGACCCTCCACCAGCAAAAAGTTTATGATTCACTGAAAGTTCAGATGATTGTTAGCATTTCTTAGGAATAAAGAGTTTTTAAATAAGGTGTGTACTTTTTTTAGACATAATGCTACTGCACACTTAAAAGTCTACAGTATAGTGTAAACATCACTTTTACATGCACTAGGAAACCAAAAAAATTGTTTGACTTTCTCTATTACAACATTCACTTTATTGCAATGGTCTATGAACCTAAAGTATCTCCACGGTATGCCTGTAGTTACCATAATGTACATTATATCTCTGAAACTTATCCACCTTATAACTGAAAAGTTTTTGTACCCTTTGACCAACACCTCATCTTCCCCACTCTCAGCCGCTGGCAACCATTCTAATCTCTGTTTCTCTAAGTTGGCCTCTTTAGATTACAATAAATGATGTAATGCAGTATTTATCTATGTGTGGTTTATTTCACCTTAGCATAAAGTCCTCCAAGTTCGTCCATGTTGTCACAAACTGTGGATTTTCTTCCTTTTCAAGCCTGAATAACATTAGTTACACACACACACACACACATATATATACATATATATATATATATATATCACAATTTTATATACATGCACACACAATTATATATATATTAAATCACACGCAAGGTGTGTGTGTGTATGTTCTTAAGAGTTAGGTCTGAATCATTTTAAGTTACTTTTTGTATATATATATATAATTTGTATATATATATTTTGCATATATATATTATATATAAATTAAGAGTCCAGTTTCATTCTTTTATACATCAGCACCATTTTTTGAAAAGACTATCCTTTTTCCACTGAATGGGCTTGATACCCTTATTGAAAATTATTTGACTGTCTATGCAAGGGTTTATTCCTGGGATCTCTATTCTCCACTGATCTTTATGTCTGTCTTTATGCCAGTGTCACTGTTTCGATTTCTTGTAATCAGTTTGATATCAGGGAGTATTAGACTTTGAACTTCCTTTTTTCCCCAAAAACTGGTTTGGCTCTTTGGGGTCCTGTGTGATTCCATATGAAATTTACAATGGATTCTTCTACTTCTGTAAAACACTTTATTGAGATTTTGATAGGGATAGTGTTGAATCTTTACATCACTTTTGGTAGTATTAACATCTTAACAATATCAAGTTCAATCCATAAACAGGATATTTTTCCATTTATTGGAATTTTTATTTTTTAATCTTTTTTTTTAAGATTAATTTTAGAGAGTGCACATGTGTGTGCATGCACATGAGCGGGGGCCGGGGGCAAAGGGAGAGGGGGAGAAGCAGACTCCTTGCTGTTCCTCAGGGCTCCTTGTGGCACTCCGCACAGCCCTTCTTGTGGGGCTCCATGGGGGAAGATCAAGGAGGGGTGTTTATGGGGAGCTGCATGTGGGTTTGAATTCCAGACCCTGAGATCATGACCTGAGCCGAAATCCAGTTGGTTGCCCAACGGACTAAGCCACCCAGGTGCTCCTATTGGAGTCTTTAAATTTCTTTCAGTAATGTAGTGTAAGTTTTTTGTAGTGTAAGTTTTTTGCCTCCTTGATTAAGTTTATTCCTTACTATTTTATTCTTTTTGATGCTTCTGCCAATTTCAAATGCCTTGCTTCTCCCTCCCCCTACCCATCTACCAGTAGTAGTAATGAGATTTAAAATTAGGATGAGGATGTATTTCCAATAAAACTATAAGAAGCTATGAAAAATTAAAAGATAGTAATATACCCATTCCTTCATTTATTCATTCGTACATTTTAGCTTATACACTTAGTTGGTGATCATTTTGAAAACTAGGATGTGTAACTTGTTTTGATTCTAAAAATAACCAAATCTATGGGAAGGCTTAAATTTTTAACTTCATGAAGTTATATATAATTTAAAATTTTAACTCTCCATAATATTCTATATATTTCAAATGATCTTTTTTTGTAGCCTGCAGAATTTTCTTCCTGCCCATTGAACTCTGATGAAGAGGTGAATAAATGGTTGCACTTTTATGAGATGAGAGCTCCTTTGGTTTGTCTGCCAGTTTTTGTCTCCAAAGACCCGGTAAGTTTATATCCATCTTTTATATTGCAGTATAATAGAGTTATAATGCTTAATTTTTAGGATATCCTTTTAAAATAAGGTACTTTTTGTGTTCTTATTTAAGAACTAGGGCAGTCTCTAGGATTATCTTGAAAGATAAGACAGTAGGTGGCTAACGACCCTATGAGTTAGGGGAGGGTTGATTCTACCTTTGAGCAAATGAAAGTACATGTATTTTAACTAACACCCAAAGTCATGTTATTAAACAGTGGAATCAGGACCAGGATTCATGTCTTCTATCCTATTTGTTGCTTATTATACTATTCATTATATTTTAATACTACATACTAGAAAAAGATATGATATAGACCAATTCATAGAAAGTATCTACCAGAATAATGACAAGTCATATTTTTTTTATCTAGCAATTACAGATATGTCTAGGACTTTGTTCTTAAATATATGCATAAGTATGTAAAATTATTAGTTAAAACGTTAGTCATGATAGCATTAATGTGATAGAATTGGAAATAATCTAAACGTCGGTTGGGAAGTGATGTGTACATAAAATAGAATGCCATGCAGGTATAAAAGAAAAAGGAAGCTCTTTTATAATCTGATCACAAGCTATATTGTTAAATGAAAAAAAAAATACTTGCACAGTACATACAAGGTGCTACCATTTGAGTAAAAATGATAAAAGTAAATATTTCTGGAAGGATATATAAGAAACTGTTTACATTGGTTGCCTGCAAGGAAAGGGAGTAAGTAGTAAAGGCAGGAGATGGATAGACACATTTTAAGGTGTTAATATCCCTTTCCACCCTTTGAATTTTGAATTAAGTGAATATATTATTTACTTAAAAATAAAATATAAACCATGGTAATATTAATAAAAAGGTCTCCCTCCCCCTTAAATGAATCCTATCCAAAATAATTTGAAAATTGACCAATAGCTTGTCTGTTGTCCTAGGGGTTTGATTTGCGTTTGGAGCACACTCACTGTTTTAGTCATCATGGGGAAGGTGGACACTACCATCAAGATACAACCCCAGACACAGTGGAATATCTTGGATACTTCTTGCCTGCAGAGTTTCTGTATCGCATTGATCAACCAAAAGAGACTCATTTATTTGGGCGAGATTAAATCAAATGAAAGAGAAATAATTCACTAAGGTTAACTTATTACTCACCAATTGATGCTAATATAAAACTCAATAGAAATTATCTCACTACTGAAATTCCATTTTTCTGGCCTTTAACTGGAAGGTATGTTGACATTTATACTCTGTATTATTTCATGGATATATCTTAGAAGTTATTGGGAACAAAGATACATAATGAAATGTTCTTTGTTTTTATTCTGTTAACAGCAAAATCAGTTTTATGTTTATACCTTAAATAAAAACATAGTCAGGAATTGTGATTATTCCTACCATCTACTGGTAATCACTTACATTATTAAATTTTTCAAATTAGTCTCAAACTCCCAAGTGGATGTTTCTGGGTATTAGAAAAATCAGTGTTGCAAATGTTGATAGTTGTTGAATCTTAGTACTGAACTTAAAAAAATCCATTTCAGAAATCAGAGTATACTCTTTTTCATGGAATAAGGTGGGCAAAGGAAGCAACTTTACCCCTTTTGGTGGGGTTGAATCATACTCAGAAGTTTGCAGTTTGCCTTTCACAAACATTGGCAACTAGGGAGTTAGCCATGATGCCTCCTTTGTTCGGCTTACCAATTGGAAGCATTGTACCATATCAATTATTTGCCAGAAGTAAAGGAAAAAGAAACAGCATCAAAATACAGCACTGAAGTGAGTATACTTTAATTTACAAGTGAGGTTATTGCTAAACATAATCATTGTCCTTTGTAAAATAAAAAGTTATGTTCTTTTACTGATGGTAATTGTTGAAATTTTCCTGAATATTTGTCTATAATAATCATTAGCCAGAAATCTACTGTCTAATCTTAATCTTGCCAATGCTAACCTTGTGTAGATTTAGTAACAAAATTTAGTTTTAATACTAAACATATACTAAATCTTCAAAAAATGTGTTTTCATTATCTTCTTTGGATATTACCTATAACATGACCTATGAATATAAATTCCTAAATGTTATTTTTAAATAAGCCTCAATTTGAAAATAAAAATTTTATATGTACAGTGATGTTTCTTTTTAATATCTTAACCTCCAGACAGAAAAAAATATTACTGTTTATTGGTTTAACAAAAGCGTATTGAACACCTCCCCTGCCCACTGGAATGTAAGCTCCATAAGGGTAAGGGCTTTGTTTACTAGTGTAGTACTAATGCCTTTAACAGTGCCTGGACAAAGTAAAAACTCAATAAATAATTGTTGAATGAATGAGTGTGTAGAAGATAATGCCAGACACTTCACCAGATGCTGGGCTCTATCATTCAGACATTTATATAGTGGGGGGAAAACTAACAATCAACAAATATATAATATGACAGGTCGTATTAAGTCCTGTGAAGAAAAAGCACAGGACAGGCTGTAAAGGAGGAGACTCTTTTGTTGTTTCCATCTCACATGAAACAGGATGGACTTACCACCCCAAACTCAATTTGGATGTCAAGATGGATAAAGGCACACCCTGCAGAGTGTCTGAGAGGGATTACTGCTCAAATAATGAGGCTTTCTGGGGAAAGCAGGACAGCTCCCAAGTAGGTCCAAAAATGGCTTGAGAAAACAGGGAAAGGAGACTGGTTTGAGGTTTTTATGGTGGTGAAGGATTAGGGCTAGGGTTATGGTTCCACATGGAGTTTAAGTTTCCCACAAGTGTCAGAGAAGGAGCAGCTGGCTTATCAGCTTGCTCATCAAATATGGAACAGAATGGGAAAAGGGAGGAATGAGGCTTAAAAGATGTCCACAGTCAAACATAAAAAATGGAATCCGACTCTTTACTACACCTTTTATATTAGGAAGATCAGGAAAAGACTCTGATAAAGAGACATTTTAGCAGAGACCTGAAAGAAATGAAAGTGAGCCATTTGGAGAAACATCTCTCCTGGCAGATTTAAAAGTGCACAGGCAGGAGGAAATTTAGTATGTTGATGAAACAAGAAGGAGGTTGTTTTGAACAAAATATGATCACCTGACTCTATGCAGCTAACACCTAGTGCATGCTCTAAGAAGCAGTTTTGTTGATGCCATATATATTTACAGTCATATGTTAATACCATATTCACTTTAAAATTAGAAATGTGATAGGGCTCCTGGCTGGTTTGGTTGGTAGAGCACGTAACTCTTGATCTTGGAGTTGTAAGTTCGAGCCCCATGTTGGGTGTACAGATTACTTGAAAAAATAAAATCTTAAATAAATATAACAAGTATGCCTAATAACATCACCTATTGGAGGTTCTAGCCAGGAAAAGGAAGCAAGAAAGAATTATAATTGAAAAGGAAGAAAAACACAATTTTTTGGCAGAAAACATGACTGATTCTTTGAAAACCCAAGAGAAATTATAGTGAAATTACTAGACTGAATTTAAGAAGATTCCAAAATCTAAATCAATGTATAATAATGAGTTGCATTTCTTCATACCAGTAAGAAATTGTTAAAAATGTAAATCTTAAAAAGATATGAATTACAATGTTATCAAAAGTACAGAGCAGGGACGCATAACTGCGTAAGTAGCTCAGTGGTTGAGCATCTGCCTTTGACTCAGGGCGTGATCCTAGAGTCGCAGGATGGAGTCCCACATCAGGATCGGTGCATGGAGCCTGCTTCTCCCTCTGCCTGTGTCTCTGCCTGTGTGTGTGTGTGTGTGTGTGTGTGTCTTTCATGAATAAACAAACATTTTTTTTAAAAAAAAAGTACATAGCAAAATTTTCATTTAACAGAGATTATAGGGGCAGCCCGGTGGCTCAGCGGTTTAGCGCCACCTTCAGCCCAGGGCCTCATCCTGGAGACCCAGGATGGAGACCTGTGTTGGGCTCCCTGCATGGAGCCTGCTTCTCCCTCTATCTGTGTCTCTGCCTCTCTCTCTCTGTGTCTCTCACGAATAAATAAATAAATAATAAATCTTTATTTAAAAAAAACAAAGATAAAAAGTCACTACTTTTGCCAGATTTCCCTGGTGTTTATCAATCAGCTTGATATTAACTATGAGTGAAACGTAAAGGCCGTCAACAGGACCCTTTCAGAATGTAGGAGCCAGCATCTGTTTGATGCTCACAGAGCTATGGAGGCTGTTAAGTCAGCGTCCCAGCCTGAAGGTGAAACTTTTTGTTTCTATCTCTCATCAATGATAAATTCTACACATAATTCCTTAAATTAGAGTTTTGTAATATAAAATGACATCCTCCTCTGTGAAATTAAGACCAATAACATCCTTTCAGGGACTCTGAAACTATTTCCCTGCTTCTTAATCTTTTAAAGTATGACTTATTCTCAGTTACTCAGGCATGAAATACAAACCAAGCCCGTATTACCCGCCAGTGTCTAATATGCTTGCCGGAGATCGTCGCTGTCCAGGAGTTCACCACTAGCGGGAACTCATAATAAACCAACTATGCACTACAATTTTAAGTAGTGATAGGCACGATTTACTGTTTTCCTCACATTCCGTCCTTACTTTAGAACTCTTCAGGCATGTTTCTTTAGGTGTAGACGCTCAGATCTCAGCGTCCCCAGAGGGACTCACCCGCTGCCTTTTCTCTACTTCGCTTTGGCCTTCCCGGCTTTCCACCCTGCAGCCCGGCGAGCACACTGGACGGAGAGACGGACAGTACGGACCGGCCAATCCACGCCCTGAGCGTGGGTCCCGGAGGCGTTCCTCCCGCCCCCGCTGCAGGCCACGCCCCCTGCAGGCCAGGAAGTCTTTTCCGCAGCTGCGCGGGGAGAGCCGGAAACGCTCCTCCGGAAGCCGGGGGCGCCGGCCCTGCAGGGCGGGGAGCTCCGGGGCCTTCTGGGAAAGCCGCGAGGCCCTGGGCTTTGTCTCCCGCCCCACGGCGGCGAGGGGATTCCGGGGTCCGCGGAGGCGCCGCGGTTCCCGGCCCGCGGGCGGTCCTCGGAGGCGCCTCTGCTCCGCGCCTGGGGCTTCGGGCCGCCGCCGCCAGCATGTCTGGAGTCCGCGCCGTGCGCATCAGCATCGAGTCGGCCTGCGAGAAGCAGGTCCAGGAGGTGGGCCTGGATGGCACCGAGACGTACCTGCAGCCGCTGTCCATGTCGCAGAACCTGGCGCGCCTGGCCCAGCGGATCGACTTCAGCCAGGGTTCCGGCTCCGAGGAGGAGGAGGCGGCGGGCGCCGACGGCGACGCGCAGGACTGGGCGGGCGGCGGCTCCAGCGCGGACCAGGACGACGAGGAAGGTGAGGCCCGAGTGTGCGGCCGCTGCGGGCGGCGGCGGGTCCGGGCGCCCGCCCGGGAGGAGGGGACGTGAGCGGATTCTGGAAACACCCGTGCCCGCCCCGGGGGCTTTGTGCGGCCGGACAGTTAGGGCGCTGCCCGCCTCCTGATACTCCTGCACGGCTTCTGGAGTTGAGGCATTAGAGACACTGCCACTGATGGAGCGTTCGGGTCTGTATGGGGCACACTCGGTTAAGAGCCCTGCGGTCCTGTCGCTGCCCTGCCGCTTGGTGTCGAGTTGCTTTGCTTCCTTCTGCAATTGGAGGATGCTAACAACACCTGCTGAGAAGAGAGAGGTCTGTATTGAGGGGAATACGAGGCAAGGGCTAACAGGTAGGCGGGGTCGAGCCGGTAGGTCGAGATTAGCGTTTGGTTTTTATTAGAACGACACCCGGGGGGCACCTGGGTGGTTCGTGGTTGAGCGTCTGCCTTCGGCTCAGGGCGTGACCCTGGGGTCCTGGGGTCCTGGGATCGAGTCCCCCATCGGGCTCCTCGCCCGGAACCCGTTTCTCCCCCTGCCTGTGTCTCTGCCCCCTCTCTGTGTCTCTCATGAATACATAAATTAAAAAAAAATTTTTTTTAAAGGACAACTGAACATTTTGGAAGGATTTTAAGTAGACAGATGATTCTTAAAAAGATTACTCGATTCTACGTAGCAAATGGGTTACAGGGAAAACAAAACAAAGAAGGGAGGTTGGTTAGCAGAGAATAGTAGAAAAAGTATGAGTGGGGTTTGGATTCTCGTTATGGTCAGGGATTAAAAAATACAATCCTGTGTTTGGGTATGTGCAACAGACCGCCTGTAAGTAGGAATTTAAAGATGGCATTTTGAGCCACTGGTGTTAGGACAGCTGGGGGTCCATTTGGAAGTAAAAAGTAAATACTGCCCCATACTTCACACTCGGATTACCTCCACAAGGATTGAAACGCAAATGAAGAAAATAAAAGAAAAATCGGAAGCAAGGTATAGAACTTTGGGAGCAGAAAAGACCTTAAGCAAGATAGGGAACACAGAAATTATAAAGCCAAAGAGAGATTAATGAGTGACGTAACATTTTAAAGCAATAATGGAAAAAGGTGCCACAAAGTAAGAAAATAAATGAGAGACTGGAAAGTTTTTGCAGCATATAGGGCGCACAATGGTTGCTAACTCTGACATTCAAAGATTCCCTGCAACCTGGGGGAAAAAAAGACAACTCACTGAAAAATAGCCCAAAGGTATAAACAGCTCACAGAAAAAGACTTCAGATCTTACTAGTCAGGAGAGGCAAATTAAAACATCATTAAAACACTATTCTCGTGCATAACGTTAGCAGCAACTTAAAAGACCTAGTATCCAGTGTTGGGAATGTGAATTGGAAAAACCTTTTGGAAGATGGCTTAGCAGTTCACGATGTGTCAAAACTGTTAAATGTGCATCCCCTTTGACCCACTAAATCACAGCTAGGAATTCAACCTACAGAAAAAGTTGTACACGTACACAGATGTGTGTTTAGTTGTTTACCACTACTGGCAGTGAAACCAGCATACGTATCCATTACATAGGAATGGTTAAACTTACTGTACATCCATGCTCCAGAATACCAAACAGTGTTGAAAGAATGAAATAGAGCTATATGTGCTGGTGTGGAAGTATCTCTAGGACATAATAATTGGAGAAAAACACAAGTAATAGAAAATGGAAGTAAATATATGTAAGTGCATTGAAAAACATTTGGACATCTTATGCCTCAACTGTTAATATTGATTACCTCTGAGGAGGGGAGAGAATTAGGGGTGGGGAATAAGGGAAAACTTTTACTTTTTTACTCTCTCCCTTTGAACTCTCTATAGTGAGCACGTATTGGTGAAATTTAACAAAATTATTTAAAAGGTTGGAAGGGATGTTAACATTGTTTAATATGTGAATACTGCCATTTATAGGTCTTTT